AGAAAACAGTTAAATAAACGAATGTCCTAACTTGCTTCATTTTCAAGAAGTGAGGTGTCGAAGTTCAAATAGAAAAATGAGTGTTTTGTTGATTACTCGAGAATCTTTGATGAAACTTGGTGTTTAACAGCAACAAAAGGCTTCAAAGTCTTATATTATGTCCAGTTTCATTTAATTTCTTAGGTTTCATCGCAAAATGAAATCATTTTTTTATATCATCAATCAGTGTAATCAGTGTCATTGATATTGGTGCTTTGATTATGCTGTCGATCTTATAGATGACGATTTCGTAAAGTGAGGTGATGAAAAAATTGAATATTTTCCACTAAAAGTTGAGTTTTAGTCATCACCTGGTTAGCGAAGCTGTCGCGAGACAGTATTTATGTTTACTCCCAAATTAATCATCACAGTAACAAAATTCAACTAATATGTTTATGTGTATTGCATGATCCACTGTAATCCATTCGTTATAGTTTTTTTTTTCAACAATTGGAACATTCCTTATATGAATAATTTATCCGTTACAAGCTAGTTGGTTGGTTGACTTGACTGACTGAGATTTATTTTAACTCCGTTCCAGTGAAAATGGACTACTTCTCGATATAAATGTGATTGGTGCACATTTGCATTTAGGGTGTGAATTACAAATTTTGTATTTTTGTTAGATGGATTGCTGATAGCTCCTGTAATGTTAGTAAAGACAATATAAGTCAGCTGCACTCAACGGACGATAATGATGTAAATGTTGAACATAAACATGCAGGGGGAACATATAAATTACGCGATTCTAGGTATTTTGGCATCAATAGAATCCTTACAGTTCATTAATTCTTTGCACTCATATAGCTGTTTCAATAAGTATACTTATAACTTTTCCAATAGTGCACGAAATACTTTAAGTTCGTCTTTCAAACACCAGTTACCATTCTAGGTGGAATGCGAATGCCTTACTTTTATTGCATGGTTGTTAAACTATTTTTGAAATTCAAATTACATCTATTTGAAATTAAAATATCATTTTTGTCAAACACGCGACTGACTGTTTGAATGTAGGTTGTCGCTACCCGGAATTTACATTCAGCTGAAAATATTCTGAATGCTGGAAGTTATATTAAATTCGACATTCAGTGACTGGTAGAAATGTGAAAGTTTGCAATAGATTTTTGTTGATTGAAGTAAAAGTATGATAGTCTAGTTCATAAGTGCAATTTCAAATGATTCGTAATTAAAGATTTGAGCCAAATTGCGCTAACAAATATTTTTAAAGTCATACACAAATTAGTTGAATAAAAAAGAGGTGTTTTTGTTGTAAATGTTTCAAGAACTATTGCAGATATTCAGAGTTTGAAAATAAAGATCCTTGAAAAGCAGAAAATGTTCTAAAAAAATGCCCAACTCCTGAAATTGAAGCACCAATATTTATAGTTTCAATTGAGGGAGAAAATACATTGAAAACATAAATTCAGCCCATCAAATGTAAATATTACTCCGTTCAAAAAATAACGTGAATTTTCATTTCCCTCAAAAAATATTTGTTTATTCATCAATTTCTATTTTTGTAGCAATTCGGTTTTTGTCTCCTCAATCGTCGCAAAACGCCGTCCTTTCATGGGGGTCACTTCAATCTTGAGAACAGAAAAAAGTCGCAGATGACCAAGTCTGGTGGTTACGGTGGCTGATGCATGATTACGTAACTTCAAGATAATACCCCTTGTGATGCACTGTTTGGAACCTTTGGTGTAGTAATGAATATTACTGGAGTTTAGTCCCAACACCAAATCGTTATTTAAACACCTCGACACGTGTTTCAATCACAAAGTGGTCATCTTCAAGAGGAAGATTACACTGGACCATGTGGCAAGAACTCCTGATGCACTACGCCACAGTGGCGTAGTGCTCTTCCATTGGAAAGGTTGGACTTTGGTTTCGATGTTATAACCATATACCCATGATTCGTCACCAGTTATGACCCTCTTGAGCAAATCTGGATCGCCGTTGACGTCATCCAACAATTCCTGAGCGATAGTAGATGAGCAAAGAGACTTCTATTACACCGGAAATTCAGCTAACAGAAGCAATGAAGTACGCTGTCGCGTAGCGTTTTCGTAAAAAGCGTATCGTTTTCGTAAAAAGCGTAACGCTGTTTCGTGTAACGTTTTTCGTATAACGCTTTCGCGTAACGTTTTCGTGTAACGCTATTGCGCATTGTTGTCGTGTAACGTTATATTACGAAAGCGCTACACGAAAAGAGTTACGCTAATTACGAAAACGTTACGTGAAAGCGTTATACGACAAACGTTACACGAAAAAACGTTACGCTAATTACGAAAACGTTACGCTATTTACGAAAACGATACGCTTTTTACGAAAACGTTACGCGACAGCGTACTTCATTGCTTCTGTTAGTTGAATTTCCGGTGTTATAGAAGTCTCTTTGCTCAACTACTAGCGATGATCATGCGACGGTTTTTTTTGGTCGAAATTCAGCAATTTTGGAACGAACTTTGTTGCCACACGGTTCATGCCCAAAATTTCAAAAAAAAAAGAATGCCATAAGCCAACCGATATGCCGATATCCTCAGTAACTTCTCTGATAGTGATTCGACGTTTCTCCATAACAATTTTCTTTACTTTCTTCTCAACATTTTCATCGGGTGTTGATGTGTTGGGGCGTCCAGAGCCCCAGCACATCAACTCACCGTATGCCACTGTCAACATTAAATTTTTTACACAAAATTCGATGATAATTTTTGGATCCATTTTTTCCATGGCAGGAAATCGCTGAACACGCAAAACATTTCTAACTTTTATGTCTCTCACCAACAGACTAAACATGCTAAACAGCTGAAACGGTAAATATATATTCGAGACGAAGTATTCCAACATAAAACAATAAAAACATCGCTAATCGAATGTCCGTAGAGTAGATGAGCAAAGAGACTTCTATCACACCAGAAATTCAACTAACATAAGCAATGAAGTACGCTGTTGCGTAGCGTTTTCGTAAAAAGCGTAACGTTTTTTCGTGTAACGCTATTGCGTATTGTTGTCGTGTAACGGTTTTTCACGAAAGCGCTACACGAAAAGCGTTACGCTAATTACGAAAACGTTACGCGAAAGCGTTATACGAAAAACGTTACACGAAAAAACGTTACGCTAATTACGAAAACGTTACGCTTTTTACGAAAACGATACGCGACAGCGTACTTCATTGCTTCTGTTAGTTGAATTTCCGGTGTAATAGAAGTCTCTTTGCTTATCTACTCCGTAGCCCGTGAAATTTGAACATTCATCTTATTTTTTGAACAGGTACAATAAAGTGCAAACTTTAACCATTTCAATAACAGTCTTAGCTTTAATATTTTGTGATGAGCGTTTGACCAAAAATGACCGTGATTAGAATTCTTTGAAATGTTGAAATGGATGTTATTTATCGTTTAGTTTTAGTGAATTGCATGGTAAAGTATTGGCAAACATGTTTTTCTAACAGAATATTGACTCTAGGATAATCGAAATAGCCGGAGGTAGGGAAATATATTCCCAGAGTAGAAGCAAAGCCTTGAGGAAATCTCGTAGCTCTTTGGTGGCCGAGGATGGCGAGAAAAAGAGTCAGAAATCGCCTATGAGGCAAGGCGTATGGGAATTGCGTAGCAGAAACGAGGCGAAAAAGTTACGGAATTCCCGAGACTATACCGAGACAGTATTTTCATCCGAAGTATGTTCGGTGGCTCATGAGAAAGACGAAGAAGCCGCGGTAGAACCGACGAGTCCGGTAAGCCCGATGACGTTTCCCGGAGAAGTAGTCGTTTTCGATGACATCGGCGAGAACTGGCAAGCCGAAGAAAACAACCGTAGTGTCCAAAAAGAGCATTCCAATCACACTGCCTCAAAAATGTTCAATACCAGCGATACCGATAGCGATAAAGTTACCAAAGTTATAGGGAGTTTGCCTATTGCCGTTTATGAAGGTTCGCCTAGAAGATACGGACAAAGACATACCGAAACAAATTGTCACCCGCAGCTTCCTAGTGCACAAAGTTTATTAGCTTCTCCTAGCGTTTATCCACCTCGACCTGGTTTTCCTCAGCGAATTGTCAACACACCTAGTCCCGTAGAAAACGAAGCAAGCATAAATGTCGAAAACAACACCTACAATGTGAGTATGGGGTTTGCTAGTTTTTTTAATAAATATACAGACAGACCTACTGTAAAATGTAATTGTTTCTTTCTAATTATTCCTAAGAAACTGCCTCAGTATTTTGATTTTTGGAAATCATGTTTTATTGGACTATTAAAATTTTGAAAATTGAATTGAACTGATTGTTTGCATGAGAGTGAAAGTGAAATTTTTCAAGTTGTCATTATTGGACTGTGTAAGGTTGGGCGATCACCATCACAGGTAAAAAAATTAAAAAGTGATTGAATAAACAGATACATTAATGTTGAAAGATTGAAAATGAAAGAAACGATTGAAAATTTAGAATGATCTACAGAACATAGAAATCAAGTAAAACTTTCTATATTCATTATGGTTGATAAATACCCTTGTAAATACCACACATTTATAGTCTATCCATTCCCAATTGGAAAGGCAACAAAAATAAGAGTACAGTCATAAACATTTCTTGCCTGTGGCCCCTAGTCGGCCTAATAGTTAGTAAACGTGCTATCAAATATAGTTGAGGAGTCAAGGCTCGGCTAGCTGGACTGGCTAAATACTAATTTTTTGTCCGTTTCACAATATTTCTTTATCAGTGACGTGTGTTCACGGGGTTAGGTGAGGTAGTGAGTAGTTTTGCAAACCGATTTTTGAAAACTTTTTCTAGAGATCAATTCCCTACCACCAAACTGATATTTTTGCACTCGACGCGCGTTTCGCTAACAAGGTAAGCATCTTCAGGAGAAGCAAATTGATACTGAATCTAAAGACAAGGGTTAGCTGTTTATATACCTAAAGTTTTTTGGTCCAATGTGGACTTTGTTTGTTAAATGATGATTATCCTAATTGATTTTTCGGTAATTAACTAGTGGAACCACTACCTGCAAATTAATTTGTCAACAATAGATTAAAAAGCGGACAAATTCGTTATTGATTACAATACCAAATTAAAACACAATAAAAGCAGATATTGTTGATTTCATGCGAAATCATGACATGGAAATATCCGAAAAGATTCCAACAAAGAAAGTATTACTGGCGACCATAAAACAACGAAATTTCAAAAAAGAGTATATTATTTATTGGATGTGTGAAACACATGGTCATATTCTCTTACGTTTGCCTTCATACTATTGTGTGTTCAATCCAATTGAAATGGTTTGGGTCACAATGAAAGAAAGCTTGCGGAAATGTAATCAGTCACCGACTTTGAATGCTGTAGTGCTTGACAATATAAGGCGAGTGGTGAATGAAGTAGGTAATAGTGATGTGTGGAAGAACTGTGTGGCCCACTTTATAAAAGAAGAGAACAAATATTATGTGCAAAGTTCCATAAATCCGATCGTTATTCAACCCGATGATGATTCCACCTCATCCGAATATAGCGAAGAAGAATTTTGATTTTTCTAGCAATTTTGTTGGCCTCTATTATTTTGTAAATATATGTTTGACGAGAATTCGGTGTGATTATTTGTGTTTTCATTGTATTTTAGAGTTTTCGACTCGGAAATCAACTACCTTAAATTTCGAAGTTTTTCATAATTACCCGTGGTGGAAAAATTCAGTTGAGATAACTTTTTCATGGGGTGATCAATTGCTATGATTGTAAGAATAAGTAACTGAAAAACTACCACTGTAAAATAATATGCCGACGCCTATGTCGAGGCGGGAATTCCTTCTCTGTGCTGTTCCAATTGGTATTGGAAATACTATACAATAATTGTTCTATTTTATCTGCCTGTTTGCTATCCTGACAGTTTTGCTCAAAATAAATGCATACCGAAGAGCAACTGTGGGATATTTGACAATCCAAGCGTTTCAAGAATTAAATATGATCCACAGAACAATATCCACATGAAATATGATATTTTCGTGAACTAAAGATGATGATACACTAATTGTTTATCTACTATTTTCTACGTGAACTGAAAGACTTGTCTCTCATATAAACATTGAACTTTAATGTGAATTGCCGTGATTTCAGAAGAAGACTTCATCTCCCAACACCACGACTTCAACGTTTGATTATCTATACGAATTTTCGGAAACTAGAAAAGTATTGGAGGAATTCTTCAAGTGTCCTCCTCCCGAGGAAGAGAATCGGTTAGAGGAAGAGTTTCAAGATTTAGAGTATGAATTGAGACGGCAGGCCAACGATTCGGGCAACTCGTACGTTGGACAAAGGTTAGCTAAGAATTTACCCAATGAAAATGAGTTTTGTATGAGAATTGACTCGCCTAGGAAGTGTATTAACAATACTAATATACCTATAATTCAGGTATGTACAAAACACGGTTTTCGTTGGGGATCGCCTGCATTTTGTGTTTCAGGATCATGATATTACGGAGCACGAGAACAACTTTTTAGACCTGTCAATCGGAACAGGATCTAGCGGTGACTTGGGCGAGACCGAGGTTGGTCTACAAGTAGGACATAGTAGAAATTTTACCCTTTCCCCCGAAACAACAGACTGTGACTCTAATTGTGGAGACTTAGATAGTGAAGTATCTTTAATGCTAATGGAAAATGATATGGGACCTTCTAGTGGCCTCTTAGGTATGTTTTATAATATTAGCCTTCATTCATTGTGAAATTTTTTCCTTGCATGGTAGTTTTCTCGAGCTTCGCTGTAAGATAGCAGGAATTTCTTTCAAAGAAATGTACAACATAAATTCTAATCTAGCTGTGAGAAGTCCAAGACTATCGTGAACGTGTTTTGCAGAAACTGTAATTTATTTTATACCTGCTTGTCTTTTTACTACATGGGTTGAAAAGTCTCGGGCTTAACACACAGATGGCGCTAGTCTTATTGCATTTACCGTTTTTTCAATTAGTACTAACCTTCAAAAGGAAGCTGTTGAAATTTCATGTTAGTCTACTCATAAGTTTATGAGTTATCGTGCTAAAAGTGACACTACTTTTGTTACTTTCAAAACAATGAATCGGAAACAATTTTGTGTTTGAATTTTACACTGCCTTTTGATGGGAAGTGAATATAGTTTGAAAAACTAAAAAACACGCTTTTAAAGAACATCGAACTGAAAAGTTGAAAATATTTTTATTAAATAAGCTTAAAACAATAACGAAACATGTAAAGTGAGTTCGAATTATATCAAGGATGTTACGTACAGCGCCATCTGCCTGCGAATAGATCAAGCAATTATGTCGATATATCAAAGAGGTTACGTACAGCGCCATCTGCCCGCAAATAGATCAAGCAATGTCAATATATCAAGGAGGGTACCTACAGCGTCATCTTCCCGCGAATAGATCAAGCAATTATGTCGATATATCAAAGAGATTACGTACAGCGCCATCTGCCCGCGAATAGATCAAGTAATAATGTCGATATATCAAAGAGATTACGTACAGTGCCATCTGCCTGCGAATAGATCAAGCAGTAATGTCGATATATCAAAGAGGTTACGTACAGCGCCATCTGCCCGCGAATAGATCAAGCAATAATGTCAATATATCAAGGAGATTACGTACAGCGCCATCTTCCCGCGAATAGATCAAGCAATTATGTCGATAATACTGTCACATACAGATCCCTAGCTTGAGACTTACAAGCAAACAAACATACATACAGGTGAAGCTAATAAAAGCGTGTTAATTAATAAAAAAACACGTTTTCTTTCTTAGGCCCGGGACTTTTCAGCCCATGTGTAAAGGTACTTTGTAAATTGTGTATATTTGATATATTATGAACTATTTTCTGATGGTCACAACCAATGAATCCCCAGTACATTGTAAATAAAATCTGTATTATATCAGATATCAAAATATCTACTTCCGAAATCAATTGTAAATATATAAAAAACGGCTTCATGTATTATTTTCACGAATTTTCTTTAACATATCATGCTTGGAAAATGTCTATTTATCCTGCAATTTTTTTACAACTGTCTTTATAAGAGGCTGTTTGAACTGACCTTGTACCATCGCTCAGAAGAAAGTGAATTGGGGAAAGTGCAAACTTGAAACCAGAAATTCAGTTTCAACATTCAAGAGCTCAAACTTGACGTAATCTTCATAACCACCGTCAGTTTCACATAATTACTTTAATTAAGGGGGTATACAAACCATTGCGAATTTTATACAGTGTTACACAGTTAAGATGAAGATTAAAAGCAGATATTTGATTTTTGTTACAGGCGTAGAGCTTTATAGGCCGCAATCTTTGCAATACCTAGCCCGAGTGACAGTCCGCGAAAAGGGAAAATCCTCGATATTATGCTTCGCGTTGAAGATACCGAAATAAGTTTTTCGATAAAGTTACTTGGGAATCAATTTTGACCCTACATATCAGATTTCAACGCAAAATTCGAACTTTAGTTTTTTTTTGTGATCTACAATTAATGGTTCTAAGTAAGAAGCAACGAAAATAATATATTCGTTTATATGTATTATAATAATGTAGGAATAAGAATGAAAAACCTAATATTCAATATGAAAAAATTCAAATTTTGATTATTACTTACTAAAAAGCCACAGAGACATCAGTCGAAATTAGATGACAATTATTCGCGCAGGCTGCCGTTCCTGTTGAATAAGATTTCCGTGCGAATGTCTTCTGTTGAATTCTTGAACAACTTGTCTGCTACTTCGAGCACCATCACAAAAAAAAACCTCACTATTTCAATTTCTTCCCGTAAATTAAGGTTCAATGGGCATTTCATTACTGTTTTTGACGCATCCACTTTCAAACTGACATTTGGGGTATTAATAGTTCATTTGTTTCCATGACACTCTAGGCGAAATTGGAAACGGTTGAAATACAAAATATGAGACTGTTTTGGAACATCGAGAATAACGATTTTCCATCCAAAATTAGGCAAATTCGCAACCAATCATATTCAACAGAAAATTGAAAAATTGTGAGTTGACTGGTAACGATTATTTTTCAATTTGGGTGGTATTTAGGGGGTGGGTTACACATTTTTTGTGGCCGAAAAGAAAAGGGACCAACATTATTTTCGTCATAACTGGTTGGATAGTTTTTGCAAGAATTTTTCAGTTTCGATGACATCTAATCAAGCAGTGGGCTCAGTTTCGTAAATTGATTGATACATAAAATGAGTTCGAAGAAAAACGCATTAATAAATCCATTCCAATTGAATCAAGCACGTAGTTGTATTATTGTTAGTTCAGTTCATGAATATTTCAGTAGACATACAATTTCTGACAATACGGCCTGACCGAAAGCAAATACGTTTTTTAATTCTGATGTGAATTTTTCATCATTTTGTTACCCATCTCCGAAACATCGCTTAGAGTTGTAACTTTCCCCTCTTCACTTCTTTTACGTATGAACCCACCTGAGCAGTGGTGTCAGCCAGAAATAAATATAGTTGTATCTCAAATACCTGCTTATTTAGCTATTATGCATTCGGCAAAGTGATCGTTGTCTTTTTAGGATCAAACACAGATTTAGCTATTCCTAGTGATTCTTTACGCTTATACTCTAGTATGCCAGTATTAGAAGATGGTTTGTCATCGGGCCATGCTAGTGATACTGATAATAATAATCCGACAGTTATGCTCATGAAGCGTCAAATCACCGAGATCGAACGAGAAATAAATCAAGGAGTTTGCAAAACAAATTCGACGAAGGCAAACGAAAATGGTTTGTCGCCCAAAAATGAAATACATAATGCTTCACCGATCGATATCAATGGTTGCGTTAGTAGTTTCGAAGAACCCATGACAATGTCTCAGACCGATTCGTTAGGTAAGAATAAATCCAGTGATATCAGTGTAATAAGTCAGTGTGGAACTTCTGGAAAATATCAGTAATGTGTGTGAAAGCTATTTTCCTTCTTTTTTTTTCGGCACGGAAATCTAATCCTTACAGCTAGACAAACATTTCAAATCAATTCAAAAACGTATATTCAGATTTGGGGGTTAATATACAATTGGTTTGTGATGGAGTTTTGAGGGGTGCCTGCTATAGACTTATGCCTCTTCAGGGTTGTGACTTGTCTTTGGTTGTCACATGTTCAATTTTCTTTTTCCGTAGTTCCGTTGGGGTGGTCAGTTTTTCCATAGGTTCAGGTTGTTAGACCGGGGGTGGATGTTATAAGATATCGGTTCCTTCCAGGATGTAGCTGTCCGCTATCTGATTCCCAGTGGATACTTCTCCAGGATGTCTTGGATCTGCTCCAACGGATCTTCCATTGCTCCCAGGTGTCTGGCTGAGGGAAACGGGAGCTTCTTCCTAGGTATCCTTCTGGTGTGCCCATAGTGTGGTCAGCGTGTTGATGGCAGCGGTGTTGTTGCTGCTCATCGTTCTGGTATAGTCGATCCATTTCCAATGGGAACGGCAATAAAAATAAGAGTACAGTTATAAACATTTCTTGCCTGAGGCCCCTAGTCGCCCCAGATAGTTAGTAAACGTGCTATCAAATGTAGTTGAGGAATAACGGCTCGGCTAGCTGGACTGGCTGAATACTAATTTTTTGTCCGTTTCACAATATTTCTTCAACAGTGCCGTGTGTTCGTGGGGTTAGGTGAGGTAGTGAGTGGTTTTGCAAACAGATTTTTGAAAACTTTTTCTAGAGATCAATTACCCTAACACCAAACTGATAGTTTTGCACTCGACGCGCGTTTCGCTAACAAGGTAAGCATCTTCAGGAGAAGCAAATTGATACTGAATCTAAAGACAAGGGTTAGCTGTTTATATACCTAAAGTTTTTTGGTCCAATGTGGACTTTGTTTGTTAAATGATGATTATCCTAATTGATTTTTCGGTAATTAACTAGTGGAACCACTACCTGCAAATTAATTTGTCAACAATAGATTAAAAAGCGGTTCCAATCTCATCGTTTAAACCGATTTTTGTGAAAATCTTAGTGTTTTTGGGTACTTTCATCAATATGGCTTTCTGGAGACCTTTTGAAACAAATGATAACATTACGTGTGAGGAATCTGTGTCAATCGACAGGGATCTGGAATTTAAAAATGAGGACTCACATGTTCAAGTTCAGCGAGTAATTTTAAATATTCATGAATGCTGGAAGAAGGAAAACTGTCACACTTCACAGAATGCTATTGTGAATAGAATATGCGAGTTAACGAAACTATCTCGTTCGACAGTTCTTCGAGTCATTAGAAATAGGGGATGTTATTGATCATGCAATGCAATGAAAACAAAGGAATAAAAAATTCGCAAACGTTGATGGTGCTACAAAAGATGTGATTCGGCGAACAATTTATGGTATATACCATAAAAATGAAGTACCAACCTTGGAAATGATTTGGTTTAAATTACTCGACTATCCCGATTACAGTTACAAATCTTTAGAAACTCTACGAGGTGTCTTATTGTCTTGTGGTTTCAAATATAAAAAATTGAACAATCGGATGGTCATAATGGAATCGACACGCATTGTTCAACTCCGACAAGAATATTTGAGGCGAATGAAAAGCTACCGAGAATCGAGCAGACATATAATCTACCTCGACAAAACTTGATTTGACATCTATGATGTTGTCAAATATGGCTGGGTAGACGAAACCAAGTATTGTGCTTTGAACACACTTCTTCAAGGGGAAAACGTGTTATAATTTTGCATGCCGGGAATGCAAGTGGTTTCGTACCTAACGCGTTGCTTCTGTCGGCCAAAAATATAAAAGATTCGTCTGCTGATTACCACGAAGATATGACTGCGGCTTTATTAGAAACCTGGTTCAGGGAGCAGCTTCACCCAAATATTCCTCCGGATAACGCTTCGTATCATTCTCGGTTATTGACTACAATACCAAACAATAACACAGGGCCACGTTATAAAAGAAGAGAACAAATATTATGTGCAAAGTTCCATAAATCCGATCGTTATTCAACCCGATGATGATTCCACCTCATCCGAATATAGCGAAGAAGAATTTTGATTTTTCTAGCAATTTTGTTGGCCTCTATTACTTTGTAAATATGTTTGACGAGAATTCAGTGTGATTATTTGTGTTTTGATTGTATTTCAGAGTTTTCGACTCGGAAATCAACTACCTTAAATTTCGAAGTTTTTCATAATTACCCATGGTGAAAAAATTCAGTTGAGATAACTTTTTCATGGGGTGATCAATTGCTATGACTGCTACCACTGAAAAATAATATGCCGACGCCTATGTCGAGGCGGGAATTCCTTCTCTGTGCTGTTCCAATTGTTATTGGAAATACTATAGCATATCGTTCTTGGAGTTTTTGAAATCTTAGGTTGATTGGAGTAGTGTTTACTAAGTTGTATAAGGTTTGAGATGGATAGCGGTGTGGGAGGTTGTGAATGTTATGTAGGATCCTTCTCTCGGTTGTTAGGATGACACAAACAAGCTCGGCAAAGCAATATATTACTTTGTTTGTTGTATATCTCAATGAGGATTTAGAGGTTATTTTGAAGTTAGGGTGAAAGTAATCAGGTATCTCCAGCGATTCAAATCTAACGTGAATCGCTACTTTTGCACATGTACCGCTCTCAAGGATTTTCCTGTAGTGCTTGTGTTTTGGTCTTGAAAGAAAATTGTAGCCAATGCGGTCGGATCGATGCGACGATAAGAACAACTCGGGCACTGCAACCGTTACTACATCGCTTTTGATAATATCTACCGCAGTAGTAGACGAAACGTCATATACCCAGAAAATAGCTTTCATGCAGTTATTTCCGGCCGTGAAAATTAACATTTTTGTATTGTTAGTTATTTGAACTTTCACTCACCGCGGAGCTGAAGAATTTATTTGAATTATATTGTATTCTACGAGTTTGGCATAAGTAGCCAAGAACTGGCAATAGTCGGAAATTTTCAAACTGAAATTGTTCCATGAAATGTGTTTCACATTGATTTTTTGTTAATTCTGGTTGAACAAACTGTTTTTTAGCGAAGTTCAACATACAAGTTTTTGGGAAGAAGCTTTTTTTCCATCATTATAAAAAAAATGTGGGAAACTTTCTAAAAGAAGAAAGTTATTCACTTCGGTAGTTTCTCCAATTTTTTGTATAATGATGGAGAAGTAGAAAGCCACAAAAACTTTTTTTCCAAAAACTAATCTCTGCTAAAAATTCCACCTTTCCAATTCAAACATACAGGTTCTTACAACAAATACGAATGTTGCCTTTTATGTTTTTACAAAAGACCGTTAGATGGCGCTATGGAAATGTGGCATCACGATATTTATGAAAGTCACCTTTTGTTTCACTAGAAGAAAGCAAATGCTTGAAAAAAAATTAAATCACTTGTGAAGGATTTCATTCTTTATGATTTTAAGAAAAGCTTTTCTCTACAAGAAATTATAGAATTTTTTCTTATTAGTCAGTGGGCTATGTTTGAAAACTGGCAGTAAACAAATCTATGGAAATGAACTTTGAACATTCAAGCCAGTCTGGGATACACCTACACAGTAGGTTGAATGGACTGACGCCTATCAGAAAACTGCTACTCCCCTGGCTAATACCACGAAGGGCGTTGGATTATATCCGACAGGTGTCAGTGCAGGAATCTTTACAGCAGAAACTAAACAACAGTCTACTGTTGCAGTATTTCAAAATGAACCATTGCTTGTTCACGAGGCATTTCCAAGAAATTGATCGCTTGGATTTTCAACTTCAAAGGACATACCAATCTTTTATGAACTGTGCCAAAAGTATTCAACAAAATTAGGAACAACAACCTGAAAATTGATTATTTGGAAGAAAAAAACACGAATTGATTTCCAAAGCATCGTTTTTGAGATATCAACTTCCAAGTGGAAAAACTGTTTCGAAAATTGGTTTGAACGTATATTAAAGTGAATCACTGTCAGACAAATAATTTGAAAAGAAAAAAAAACGGTCTGTTATAAATTTTTCCCCGCTTTCTCGTAGAGACTCAGAAGGTGACAATCGTATCACAAAATCATCATGATATTCTCAACTGTGTTGTTTTTTAAGCTACTAATAGATAGCTATTTTGTTTTTCATGATGTTTTGAACATTATTCAGTTCATCATCGAGATCCCTTGTATATTGTTCTACTGATGGCCTTCAAACCGATATCTTTCGATGTTTTTCCATAACGTTGATTTTTAGAAAAAACTCCACCGCCGCCAGCTCCTGCACCCCACCGCTTGATACAAGGAGAGAAAACGGACGACGTAGAAGCAGCCATAAAAGATATCAGACTGACATTGCAAAGAACCAAAACGTTACCTCTGCAACGCCATCCTGAAGAGGAATCCGAAGAAAACGCAGCCAGCCCTATTTGGGTGCCAAGGTAATATTGGTGGGAAATGAAAATTGGTTTATTTTATATTTATAACAGTCATTTCAGGCAAAGGGGTCTGTCCAATGCCAGTGGAGATTCTGATAGGAAGGCTAATAGCGGACCAGATGAAGGTGAGGAACTGATTATTGAATTAGCTTGGCTCACGAGTCTCTTGGAGAGGAAGTTACTCGTAAACAGCTGCGGTTTGCGGTTTTGTAAGCTCTCACAGTAGAGTGTTAGTTGAAAATGCGTTTTTTTTTGTTCAAAATTGGCGTTATTCAATTCAATTCAGAATATACCTACTTTATTGTTTGAAGATTGCAACAAGACTAGCACCATCTATGTGTGCGACCTGAAACTTTTCAGCCCATGTAATTATTGACTTCCTGATCAAGATAAATGAACTATATGAGATTGATGAAGATTAATAGTCGACTTCAGTTCATAAACCGTAGCTTAATGTTAGGAACAATTTTCCTATAACATCTTGAAATTCAAGTTATTATATTTTAAACCAGAGGCGTTGTTCGATTTACAATTCTGTTTAAATTTTTTCAGAGGAAAATGATACTGATTTGGAAACAGACCGCCTTTTGGGACAACAAAGAACATATGACCAGGGGTTTTATGATGACAAAGTGAGCAATTTGTTTAGTTCATTGAATTTTTCGATTTGTTCATTTTAGATAGCTCAAGATAGTTCTGGCACAACAAATAACATTTTGATTCATTTATTTTTTTTAGTTTCAAGCTTTAATTAAACCTTTGTTCTAGCGTCTAACTTTGTTGAATTGTATTATTTTCTTTGAATTATTTTTAGTAGTTTCAGAAAGTAATATCAATAATATCACCTTCAACTGAAAAGTTTTTTCATAATTATTAGGTTGTTTTAAAAGTTTTGTCCGTTTCTATTCACTTCAAAATAAAGTATTCATGTATTAATTTCATTATCTATCTGAATAAAATTGACAAGGCAAAAAATAAAACTCGGGAAAACTGGCCCATTATAAATAACTAAAGAGGTAAAGCTGCAAAACTCCCCAAACAACCAATAATAAACCCAAACATACTCAATAACTTCTTTTGCACTATAGCTGAAAAATTAACCTCAAATATACAAGCGCAAATGGATCCACTAGACTACTTAGAAGGCATGTTCATTCCTGATAGCTTTTATTTATTCAACACGGATATTGATGAGCTCAAAAACACTTTTAAGGAAATCAAAAACAAAAATTCTTCTGGTATCGACGAAATATCTGTAAGAATATTAGAAAATATACCAGACGAAGCATTACATACTCTAGCAGAAGAAATGTTTTGCTAGTGGTGTTTTTCCGTCATGTTTGAAAACAGCCGTTATAGTGCCAATCCATAAAGGAGGAGAGCTGGAGACTCCTTCAAATTTCAGACCAATAGCTTTACTATCTACCATTTCAAAAGTTATAGAAAAAATTGTAAAAAAGAGATTATTGGCATTCTTGAACCAACATAACATATTATCTACAGTACAATTTGGTTTTCAAACTTCTAAACGCACAAGTGATGCAACTTTCAACTTTTTAAATGAACTGTATGTTGGCCTGAGCTGTTGGAGCAGCATTCTACGATTTTTCAAAAGCATTCGACTGTGTTAATCACAGAGTACTGCTCAAAAAATCATATTGCTATGTGACACTCGACTTGTTTGCAAGCTATCTTTCGAACCGAAATCAGATCGTCAAATTGCCGAATTGTTCCTCTGATATCTCAAAAATAAACTGGGGAGTTCCCCAAGGATCCGTTCTTGGCCCAATTCTTTTCCTTATTTACATCAATGACCTTAGTAAGATTGATATACATGGAACCTTTACCATGTTTGCAGACGATACCAGCATACTATGGCATGGAAGTGATATAGAAATTCTGAAAGAGCGTATCTTTCTAGACTTACATAAAGTTGAAACCCAGGTGTGACTCAAACTATCTTTGCTTCAACGGAAATAAAACCAAAATCCTGACCTTCAAGTTCAATTATGAAAATCTGACCTTGAATGAACAAATCATGAATAACAATACCAGCATAAAATTCTTAGGTATATACATTGATGATAAATTACGATTTGATGACCATGTAAGGAGCATAAACAAAAACCTAGCCTCGGGCTGCTATGCAATCAGAGTTATCACTACGGAACTCGGAACGAAGGCAGGCAGAATGGCTTACTTTTCTCTCATTGAATCACACTTAATGTATGGCATTTCGTTCTGGGGTTTTTGCTGTTATCAGCTAATGAGCTCAGTATTTGTCTTACAAAAAAGAGCTCTCAGATATTTATCAAAAGCTAAGTCCAGAGATCACTGTAAACCACTTTTTATAAAACATGGAATTCTGACCCTATACAGTATTTTTATCCTTGAGACAGTGTGCTTGATGCATAAGAAGAAATCCAATATGACAATTTCAAGACCATATAATACTCGTCAAAAAGACGACTTACCCCTACCGCTACCAAAAACGACATTAACCAAACTCTCTCTCATATTTGAGAGTAACAAACTCTTCAATCATCTGCTGAGCCAAGTAAAAAATATATCATGCCCGAGAATCTTTCGGAAAACCGTCAAAAGCATATTTTTAACTAAAGGATACTACAGCCTGCAGGAGTATTAATATGAAGCTACAAAATTACATGACATTGAAACAGACAAAACTTATGAAACAACCCAAACTTTTTATGTATCGTTGCGATACAAGAAATTCAAACAATCACCATTTTGTTCAAATAGAATAATTAACTGAATTTCATGTGATTTGTTTTTCAAATAGCGAGTTTTTCGTTGCAAGCTAGCTTGATAAGTGTTCAATCCGTTTACATGTTGAGTTGATGTAAATTTTGTTGTGCTATTTCAACTTGTTATTGAGAGTAACGTTTTTCTGAAAGATAACATTAAAACGTAGTCTGAATAGCTGCTTATTTGAATCATTAGAAATCGAATTGAGCATGCCCCCTAACTTCTTTATTTATATTATCAGGGTTGGAGAAAACCTAAAAGTCGGACTATAATGCCTCCACTAAGTCTATCAAATCCTAAACAAATTCTAAACACTATGGACGAAGGTACCCTCCCCCTAGTCCCTCCTGAAACTCAAATCTCTGACCCTCCCTCTCCGACAGCTGTTTCCGAAAAAAGTCAATCGCCCCAAAGCCAAAAAGGATCAGTATCTTCGAATAAAGTCAAAAAGGTGTGAGATTGCGCATGAATAGATATATTTTTAGATTAGGCTGCGTCTTGTAATATATCTCTATCTCTCCTGTGACACTCCTCAAATAATAACATTTCATTTTTCCATGCGACTCATGTAGACTAACTCGTAGGCAGGAAAAGTTGCATGCAGAATGCCGAACTAACATATTTGACATGCTAGCCTGGGTATAAAATATTTTTCTTGAATTTAATTTGAAATGAGTATGTTCATTCATAATACAGATTGTATTTATTGCACATTTCCAAGGCGTCTGGTGTGGTGGATAACTTGTTGCACATTTTCGTAAATCTCCTTGACGGATCCAAAGTATTAAGGTAAAAAAAGTGAAGGACACAGTACAAAACAAATATTTTTGCCCTTTACGTACATATCAGTCGCAAATACTCTAGTAAATTTTAATTTCTCGGTTAGTCTGCACATGCTTTGTGTGTAAATTAGTATTTTAATGTTAAAACTAGGACTGAAAGGTCCACTGTGTATTTTTTTCATAATTAACAGTTTGGGCTATTGAGCAGCAACAATTGATAGTTCAAATTGTCGATTATAAAAAATTTCACTGAACAGAATGGGGAATGTTCCTCCTGACGAAAATCAAATACGTTTCATAAAAGAGCTCCAGAACAACGCATTTTAAACTTATCATTTCAACCTTTGTCTTTAAAAAATTATTTAAATACTTAAAAAAGAGGAATGAAATAATGCATTCAACATTTAAAGAGATTCGTTTCTATTTCACCATTTGGCAACATCGGTTATAGCTAATAAAGGACAATGAATCTGTTACTTGTATGAGACAAACAAAGATGACACATTTCAGAGGCGTGCTGTTCTGTTTACTTATGTTCCGAGTTCCGAGACATTCTGTGACATTTGTGCACCTTTCCTATCTTCCTCTATATAAATAAATAACAAAACAACTGTTGTTTATGTGGCTTGTGGAGGTGGTATTGAACTATAATTTATATTTTGCCTTATAAAGATAATTTTCCTTTTTTAAAGCAGAATATCTAGGTACGTATAAATTATTTCAACTTGATATAGGCGCTGTTGCCAATATGTGAATTAGAAACAAATCCCTTTAAAAATTAAAACCCAACATTTGAAACACCAATTTGAATACCTTTTGAAGTGAATGTGAAAAACTCATGAATTAAACTCAACTTTATTTTGTTCAAACTTGCATTTGCTGTAATAACCCAAATTGAGGAACATTCCCCATTCAGACAGTTCTGAAAACTCTTTCGAATTATTGATTTCAGAAGAAAGACAACTGATTTGGAAGAATGCTATATAATTTCAATGGAATCGTCCTTCCCTTTTTCATATATTTGATTTGTTTACTTTTTTCCATACCCAGCCTAGTAACTTAACAAAAGAAACTAACGATAACAAATATACATGGAATACATAGAATACAACTTTAAAATTTAGATGCTTAACATGTAAATAAGCATTATCTCCCCATGTCTTCTGACACAGTACATTTGTTTTTAAACACATCTTTATTTTCAGGATAAAGACAATAAAAAGAAAGGGCGAAATAAAGAAGGTAAGTCATATTCTCCAACTTTATAACTATCTTGTGTAAAAATATCTGATTTATTCAACTTGCGAAACATATTGGAATTTTATGGTAAGTTATTCGGAATGTGAAAAAGAATGTTTGAAATTTTCATATCCACATACTTGAATGAAACCATTCCAAATCTGTACATCCTGAAATGGATTTTTTTTATCAGAATCCACATCAGGAAAACAGTTCTGTTATGAATAGTTGTCAGGTAATGTTTGTGGAGTTGTTTCCTAGCTCTGTCTGTAGATGGCGCAGGTGGACATTCCATTGAATCAACTGCAGAAATAGTTCCTGACTAGCTGGAATTATATTTGTTTGGTTATGATACTCAGACGGTTCACACCGTTCTGAAGAAACCATGTCCTGTACTGATGATGGGGCAATCACCCCGAAACCGGTCTATCGGTTGGTCGGATCGACCAAATGAAATTAATTTCTGCTTTTTAAAGTGGGAAATAACTTGCGACGAATCTCCCAAATCGAAGACGTTGCACAAGTGCCTGATGGTTTTACTTCAACTCTTTGTGCTGCATTAGCTGGGTGGGTTGTTTGTTTTTCCGTCGGGTATCTGCCACACGTACCTACAAAGTCGTAGGTCTACATGAGAGGCAAGGGGTAAGGTGTTTTCACGTGAACCTGGAGTATGGAAATGACCGGTACTTGATGAAAATCACTGACGAATTATCAAAAAATACTTAATCATTTACTACTGCTCACGCGTTTCGTTAACTTATAGCTTCATCAGACTTTAGCAATAGTTTTGTTTGAAGAATTTGTTTCATAGTGAAATTGTTTAAATGAAATTATTTCTCTGATTGATTCTGATGAAGATCCATAGTAATTTCACAGACTACACCTTACGATCTGATTTTCACAAACTATCACAGTAGCTTTTTGCAGTGAAATAAGTAAAATGAATGTGTAAATGGAATACCGCATAAAATGATGATGTAATTTTGTAATTCTGAAAAGTTGAAGGACTTTTTTAGCATATCTATTCAGTTTTTTGAAGCACAACAACTAGAATAACAGACCTGTATTTACCTGGTAGGTTTGTATCGATTTGGTCCAAACTCACCATAGTTCCATGCATTGTAGCCCATCTTGGCCCGTTGATGTGTCCGATTTTTGTTAATTTTGAAAAAGCTATTCGTTCGTTTTCTTTGCAGATGTCATTCAACGTTCAGTATTGATAGAAGGAGTGCTGTTTCGAGCAAGATATTTGGGATCGACTCAGTTGGTGTGCGAAGGTCAACCAACAAAAACAACAAGAATGATGCAGGCCGAAGAAGCAGTGTCAAGGATCAAGGTAAAGCATGATTTCGTTCCCTAAATGGTGCACTTCAATTATGGCAAAGTCACATGCGCTTTTTATTTTTCAATATTTTTGTGTAAATGGATACAAATGTTCCTAGAATTTTTCGTGATATACTGAAAAGTAACATACTGAAATGTTGGCAGTGTTCTGTATTGAATTTGTAGGTAAAGTAGTCTGTTTCAATGGAACATTGAGTTCGCTTTGATAACTATTTACAAATACCTTATTATTTGAAAATTTTGTTTTGTTTTTAAGCCAATACTATTTGAATGATTTTTTGAGTTGTAATTTTTTTCTGTTGTAACGATCTTTTTTCCTGATTAGCTTTATCGTAGAAAAAACGTAATTGATTCATTGTGTTCTTTACAATTTCACAGTATATTATTTTTCGTATCAATTTCCTTAGTTTTGTTACAAAATACCTTAGTTTAACGATTAATCTTCCTTCTGAAGTAAGACGAGTTATAGCCGTCCCCCTCGCATATGTATATGCATAAAATAGCCCTTAATGAAAACTGTCCGTGATCAAAAAATCAAGCCAGTGTACATAAAGAAGCATGCTCGTTTTTAGTGTGAACCTTTTTGAGAAAGAGCATTTTGTTCCTCATTCGTGAAAGCTGAGAAACTGTGAAAAGGCATGGAAGCATGTCTTAGCACGGATCAAGTGTACCCCTGTTCAGAAAGACTGGGTGTTGATTCCGGAAAATGACAGTGTCGTACCCCCTTCCCCACTTGGAACATCATGTGCCTACTGGTGCACGCTTAATAAGTCATTGACTGCAGAAAGGGGACATCATCACTTTGTAATTATCAGCAAAACTGATTTTGTTGTTCGAGAAATCTAACACATCAGTACTTTGACATTTTCAATATGCTCAAGAATAATAACCGCCAGATAGTTGAAAGTAAATAGTAAGGTTAAACATTTGTTTCTTTCATAAACTACACCTTACGATTTGATCTCCACAAACATTACTTGAAGAAATATATCTCATGTTTCGCTAACACGAAAAATTTACTGTGTTAGCGAAACATGTGATATAAAGAGTGATTTTTTAAGAGGTATAGGATTTGATTTCCAAAACAACACCAAAAATTGATGAAATCTTTATTGGAATTGATAGAACGATCAATATAATTTCATTTTTGAAGATGATTTCATGCAAATGTTGCCCGCGGCTCCGCTTTAGATGGCCCATGCGCAAACTCCAATTTTGGCACACTCTCTCTAACATATCGGCCGGTATTTCACGTATAAATGCTTCAATATTGGCTTCCAGAACGTCAGTGGTTGCTGGTTTATCCCTGTAGACACGAGCCTTAACATGACCCCACAAGAAATAATCCAAAGGCAGATTTTGAACAGAATTGGGCCATTGTTTTGCGTGCCGTATGGCATGTGACACCGTCTTGTTGAAGCCGCATGTCAGGCATGTCCAATTCTTCCATTTTGGGCATCAAAAAGTCGTCAATTATCACACGGTAGCGTTGCCATTCACGGTAACGTTCCGGCCACTGTCGTCTTTGAAGAAGTACGGCCTGATAATGCCACCGACCCATGATCCACACCAAACAGTGACTTTTTAGGGATGCATCGGTAGCTCTTGCAATGCTTGTGGCTGGTGTTCACTCCAGATGCGGCAATTTTGCTTGTTAACGTATCCATTCAACCAGAAATGACCCTCGTCGCTGAACACAATTTTTCGATAAAAATGTGGATCTTCCTCCAACTTTGCCAGTGCTCATTCACCAAATAGACGTTGTGGGAGGTCGTATGGCTTCAATTCTTGCACCAGCTGTATCTTATAAGGTTTTACATCCGAATCCTTTCGCAAAATTTTCAACGTAGTGGAGTAACAGAGGCCCAATTGCTGCGAACGGCGGCGAATCGACATTTCACGGTCATCACGAACACTGGCGGATACAGCCGCAATATTTTCATCGGTCATCACTCTACGTATTTTGATAATTTGCAAGCATTGTTCATTCGTAAGTCGATTCATGGTTAAATTATAGACCAAACTGAACAAGTTTGACAATGACACAAGACACGATTCACGCGTGATCTGTCAAAAACAATGTTGCCAAAAAGATACCAGCAAAAAAAAACTTATAAAAAAATTTGGCGAATGGTCGAGTGAATATTGGAATGTTATTTTTTCATAAAAGCTATTCTTCTGAAGGCCAACTATAATTTTCGTAGGTGGATGGGATATTCAATCTCAGTTACTTGAAAATATGTCGATTTTTGTACCTTAAGCAGGGTTTGGGGCTCCAACTCATAAATCAGGAGCTGTGTGAAGTTATATGTATGTGTGAAAATGAAAATACTATCCTGAACTGAAACCCTCACTGTTTCCATATCAAAATTATCTCTCGACCTGTCGTTGGCGGAACTACTACTATAACTTCGATAAGATTGGCGTTTCCGTGAATTTTCTCTGAAAGTTTTGATGTACCCTTTACGCAGCTTGCAGTCCTTGTGTGCTCTTTGGTTGGTTGCCTGTTACATGTTTTACCTGAATTTCACTATGTCGCACTCCCTTTCTGTCCATTGCTTTGGATGTTTCTCTAAACTGTACATAGAAATGCACCTGCAGAGTGTACTTCGATACGTCATTTAAATGTGCTAATATAGATGTGAAAAATTTAGCGTAGCCGAAAACGGGTGAATATAGGTTTATTTCGAAAAGAAATTCCGGTAGTGTGACAAAGGTAAACCTTGCAGGAGGTATCCAACCAAATGATTCAAAGTTATGGGCAACCATTTGTACCGAGTAGCCCTGAAAGTGGCAGCATCGAGGATGATTCACAGGTGGGGCCAGAGCTTGGAATGTTAACAGAAAATTCCTTGCAACCTCATAGTAGCGGTGAGATTTTCATTTATTGCAATCACAAAAAAAAAACGTTTCTCTCAAAAGTAAGGTATTCCTATTCGCAATTGATATCGATAGTATTTATATCCAGAATATACAGTGTCACCATTAAAGTGCGCACCATATGGGAAACTTTTTCTTCGAAAAGTGTCAATGAAGTTTAACTTCGACACTTGTTTGTGCTTTAAATTTAACTCAAAATGATGTGGCCAACTGCGACCCACTGACGTTCAGTGTTTGTAAATAATAAACAATATCAAATCAAATGCCACTGGTTCTGATGGAATCTCCATAAAAATGATCAAACTATGTACACTTTACTTGATTCCGATAATCACTTTTATGGTAAATAAATGTTTAACAAATGGTATTTACCCCTTCTAATGGAAAAAATCACTAATTTTTCCGATTAATAAAATTTCTAAGCCAAAAACATTTTCAGATATCAGACCTATCAACATATTACCATTGATTTAAAAAATTCTTGAAAACGCAGTTCATGAACAAATGTATAATTATGTGAATGAAAATAAAATAGTACCACCACATCTACATCGATTTAGGCCAGGTCATAGTACTACTACTGCACTCTTGGGAATAACTGATGAAATTATAAATAATCTAGGTAAACGTAAAACACAACTTTTATTATCCATCGATTACAGCAAGGCCTTTGATACTATGAATCATCATTTAATGTGCACCAAAATGAAATACTTTGGCTTTGATAATATGTCGTGCTCATTCATTGAATCCTTTCTAAATGATAGAACTCAACGTGTCGTCATGGAAGACATAAAATCGTCTGAACTTAGGGTAGCTCATGGCGCACCCCAGGGATCAGTATTAGCTCCCCTTCTTTTCACTATATATACTACAGATTTCTTAAAGGTCTTGAAAAAATTTCAAATACAAACATATGCAGATGGCACAAACTTATTTTTCAGTGATAGAATCGAGAATAATATGAACCAACAAAGTTATTTGAATGAAGATATAAAAAAATTAATTGAAATATCATTCACTCACTATCAATCCTACCAAATCAACAGCCATAATATTTGAAAGTGATTAAGATCGTCAGAGGGCCATAGACAATATATCTTTACAAGTTGATGATCAGTTGGGTGATATATAGTGATTCGATAAAAATTTTAGGTTTGATAATTGATCACGTATTTGATTCACGTATTTGATCAAATGTATAAAACATGTAAGTAATCTTATAGGACACTCTTATTCAATACTGGGAAAATTATATTCCAATAGGCATTACCTTAATAAAAAAATTAAAATCACATTATGTGATTCACTTATATTATCGATATTTAACTATTATGATATTGTTTATGGCCCATGCCTTGATTATCTAACCCGCTCTAGAATACAGAATACTCCACGTCATCAAGTTCATAACAGATACCTTAGGACAGTGAACATTTCACTGTTTTTTATGAAAAATCATTCACATATCAGGCTGCTACCACTTTCAATATATATCATAAATATATAATACCACAACCATGTTTATCGTTCAAAAAGAAAATTAGGAAGATCATATTCGNCTGAAACTTTAATAAACATTTCAAATTTTGTGCCAAGGTAGACCTTTTAGTACTTGACATTTAAAAAAAAATGATTAAAATCGATTTACAACTTCAAATTTTAGGGGGGTGTTTCCATTAAAAATGGGTCACACTGTAGATCTGGAGATACAAAAGTTATTTCTAAGACATGGATATCTTTAAAATTAGTTTGAATCACTGCCCGTAGCTTTTAGGATTGAATTGGTTGTTTTGAATACTGTTCTAAGAGCAAAGCTTGCCCAATTTGGGTGGAATTTTTCATTTTTGAGAGCTCAGTATGATTTTTCATAGCTTATATTTTGGTAGTAAACAGAACATCGGCAAATTATAAAAAAAATTATCAAAATTATTTTATAACACGCACTGGAATACCTCACTTTTGGGTGGCACTTGAAATACGAGTATATATCAATTCGATTGTATATCTGAAAATACGTTTTTATGTGGATGCAATTAGTGAAAAGTGCTTATACAGAAGGTTCACCATGCTTCAATGAAAATCCTCTTGGATCAGCTGGAACAGTGTTTCGTCTGCACTTCCTTGGTTCTGTTGAAGTGGACGAGGAAGGGGGTAGGAAAAGAAGAAAAAGGCTCAAGAAAAATATGGTAGAAGTAGCCGTAACAAAGATTAAGGTCTGTTTTATGTTTTTATGTATGTTGTTTATTGTAGTTCCATTCGATTTCAAAGATTTTAAGAGTCAGACATGTTTTTTTCACAAACGTCCCAGAAATGTATTATTTTATTACATCAACTAAGTTGAAGGAAGCATATTTCAGTTGGATAACTCAGTGTGGAACTTTTTCGTGTTTAATCTCACGAAAATATAAATCTGTGAAACCGGCAATCACTGACTCTTTGAATTAATAAAATAAGGTAACATTTTATTTGCTGAACTGCCAATACATATTTTTTTCTTTGATAAACCTACCATGATCAGTTTCTATACTTTTCATTTGTCATTACATAGCCAATAATATTTGTAGGTAGTTGTTATGTTTTGAAAAATAATTATTGTAATAATATTTTTCAAAACACAACAAATGTAATATTTTCATGAAATTTTGTTTTGTATTGTGACAGAAAGTAAAATTTCAATTTTTCTAAGACAAACAGTATATAGATATTCTAGTGAAAATTATTAATTTTAATTAACACTGGAATGAATGATACATGGTTTATGAGGATTTCACAAGGTCACTAACTATTCAATACACATCTCGAATACAAAATTATTGGATACCTACGTTGAGTTTTTTCAATGCTAAGTTTCTATTAGTTTCAATCCATTCCAACACTCATAATAATATATTGTACTTTTTCCTTTCACTTGTTTGCAATTTTTTCATTAAAATATTCATCGGATTCACTTAAACTATGACTTTCATTATCTCTAGTATAATTAGTTAATGCTTTCAGCTAATGAAAACATTAATAGGTGGTTCCAGGGAAATCATTGTTACTTCCAGACATATATTGCCGTTTTTGCACTAAGTAGACTGTTTTAACATTAAATTTAATCCAATAATTCTTCAAATCACTCGAATATTGAAAAATTCATTGAACTATCCTTTTCACCTGGTTTTCAAGTAAAATATTTGAGAATGCTTTATGTCTGTATGGCCCTCATGGTACTTCATCATCGAAAATTATAATTTTTGCCAAATATTAAACTCAAGTTTCAACCCCTTGTAAGCCCTGTATAGTGTTTCGTTCAAACACCACTAACTCAAAAAAAATGTCTTGATATTATTGTTTGACGGGCATATTTCATTTCATTGTGTGCACTAACATCTACTAAAATGTACTAACAAATATATTTTTTTCGATGCTGCTTCTACGGATATAAATAGGCTTTGGTAAGCATCCATTCCCACAGAATAAATTTTGTTGTTATCAATACCATTTGATTGTAGGCTCCAGATGGCGAAAGTCAACCGAGTACAGAAGTGGATCTTTTCATCTCCACCGAAAAAATAATGGTCCTCAACACCGACCTCAAAGAGATCATGATGGATCATGCCTTACGAACAATCTCCTATATCGCTGATATTGGTGACTTAGTTGTTCTTATGGCCAGAAGACGATTCGTCCCTCACGAAATGGAAGACGCTCCAAAAATCAATCGAACACCCAAAATGATTTGTCACGTTTTCGAAAGTGAGGAAGCTCAGTTCATTGCTCAGTCCATCGGACAAGCATTTCAAGTAGCGTATATGGAATTTCTCAAAGCTAATGGCATCGAGGATCACAGTTTCGTTAAAGAGATGGATTATCAGGAAGTTCTCAACTCGCAGGAGATTTTCGGAGATGAGTTACAGATGTTTGCGAAAAAAGAAATGCAGAAGGAGGTGGGTGAATTGTTTTTTCATGACTTTTATGTAGTGTTTGGTTTAGTTAGTCAAAAATGTTTTTGGAAGTTTCCCTCAATTTTTCAAACAGCTTTTTTCCCAATTAAATGTTATGTTGTGTACTCTTGCAATAAGATGATACTTGATATTCGGTATTTTTTGTTTCAGGTTGTGGTTCCAAAGGCAAAAGGAGAAATATTAGGTGTAGTTATAGTAGAATCTGGTTGGGGCTCAATGCTACCTACGGTTGTGATAGCGAATCTTGCTCCAAGCGGTGCTGCTGCTAGGTGCGGCCAGTTGAATATTGGCGATCAAATAATAGCTATAAACGGCGTTAGTTTGGTTGGACTGCCGTTATCGACATGCCAAACCTATATAAAAAATTCCAAAAATCAAACTGTAGTTAAATTAACTGTAGTACCTTGTGCTCCTGTAGTAGAAGTCAAAATTAAGAGACCTGATACAAAATATCAACTTGGATTCAGTGTACAGAACGGAGTGGTGAGTAACTAAAAGTTACTAGTTGATTTTTATGGGAGGAAAGTATTAAGTGATACAGGAACTTTTCTTCCCTGAAAGTATTTATTTGGTGAAAGATAACGAGTGAAATAAATCAATTTCTTACTCTTTGTCGTTAATTAACGTTTTATATGTACAAATTAAACAAGAAAGTAGTTGATAGTGAAGCAACTTGGTTTGTTTTTTTTTGCATTAATCCTGATTATCTTATCTTATTCATTTTTTTCAGTTTTATTGTCTCTATATAATTGACATTTATTTTCATTTCAGGCCAATGTAATTTGTTTTGTTCCCAAATTAGTCTTATTTCTAAGCAATTGCCACTAGTACTTGCTAATTTATGTTGCGGAACCAGCAGGTTGTAACTTGAACTTGGGCATGTCATATGCACCTCTACAGGTGCACCACTTCAGGTGAAAAACACCTCACCTCCTGCCTTTCACGTGAACCTACGACGTAGGTCCACATGAGAGGCAAGGGGGTAAGTTGATTTTCACCTGAACTTGGGAATGTCATATGCACCTCCCCAGAGTATATAGGTCTACATGAGAGGCAGGAGGTGAGGTGTTTTTCACCTGAACTTGGGCATGTCATAAGCACCTCCCCATAGAATATGTTAATATTGTATATGTCCAACTTTAGGTGAGAAACACCTCACCTCCTGCCTCTCATGTGTACGTACAACGTTTGAGAGATATCTACAAAGTCGTAGGTCCACATGAGAGACATGGGGTAAGGTGTTTTTCACCTGAACTTGGACATATCATATGCACTTCTCCGGAATATATTCTGGTTTTGATCAAGTGCGTCACTATATTTAAATAATGTGCCAACGCCAGTGCTTTGTAGTTTTTATAATTTGTCTTACAAAAAAAAGAAATTTTCGTTTTTGTTTTTACAAAAAATCTTCTCATGATTATTGAAGGCAACATAAATTTGCTCTTTCTAGAGCAATAAACTTATGCAATAAATTGTCAATTATCAAAAACTAAATATCGCGTAATATGCGTTGGGTAAATTCTAAAATATTCATTGATAAATGCTACTACAGTCAACAGAAATATCTACCTGAATTTAATTGTTCCTTTCATTTCATTTTATTTCCTAATGAAAAACGTTTATTTTTTTTGTAATGTATATGATATAACTCTCAAATGAAAAGTTTTACTTTTTCTTTTATTCTAGATCTGTAGTTTATTGAGAGGTGGAATAGCGGAACGAGGTGGTGTTCGTGTAGGACACAGGATTATCGAAATCAACAACCAAAGTGTGGTAGCAGTTCCGCATGAAAAAATTGTGAATTTGCTAGCCACATCAGTAGGTGAAGTGAGTATACCAAAAAACATGTATTTGGTGGGAGATTGATCTATTTCCTGTTTATTTTCAGATTCTGATGAAAACGATGCCGACTTCCATGTTCCGTTTGCTTACCGGTCAAGAGAATCCCGTATATATTTAAGTTGAAACTAACCGAGGTTCGAAAGTGCCTACTTGTAGTTGATATTGAACTGTCCTTGGGAATTGTTTTATTTTGATCGTGCTTGAGTCGCAGATCAATATATTTTTTATTGTTAGTATAAGTTCTACAGACTGAAGACAATACAAGCAAAGAACTGCGCTCTGCACAAATCATTTTGCGCTGAGCTTTCGTGATAGACCATATCTCTGCTTTGTCGCGTAATTAGTTCAATCATTTTAGCTAATGTTAGGAGGAAATCTCGGATGTATTCCATACGGAACATTTTTGGTGATTTTTGTGTATATGATGCAAAACTAACACTATATTCTATAACACTACTTCTATAACTTTCGTGCTACGGTTGTTCAACATCGTGATTTGAAATGGAAGATGGTATAGGAGTTTTTTTTTAATGAAATCAATAATGTATTGAATTTGTCACAGATTAAGTACATGAAAGGGTTTGAGGATCGTACATTTTTGTTATTCAAGTTGGTACAAATTTTTTGTCTACTAACGACGAATTTCAATAAGCATTTATTGCTTAAATCTTCTTTCCGAAGTACTGCCTGAAGATTTCTGAGAAAGAGATCCACATTTCATAGAAATATCTCCAGTCTGCATTATTATTTGTTAGGGCCAATTATAAAATGAGAAATAATTTCAATAAAACCTAGAAAATCTCGGTGAAGGCTGTCATTGAACGAATTCTCAACATAAATCTAAGAAAATTGTTGATGAAAAAACAGATGTAATATTCTTCCCTATTATAATATAATAATACTATTGAGTTAACTGTTTAATACAAGACATTGACATATATTGAAGGAACATCAAAATATATTTTAAATTAGAATTCTAAACATTCACCACCTGTCACAATGTGATTGTTTTGAATTTTAATTCGAAATATTCATTTTCTCAATAAGCATGTATCTCTCCTTGATATGGCCATCAAACTTATGTTGATTATTGTTAAAATTTTGGTACATGGCGTGCTTCTTTTCATTTTGGGACTGTTCACGAAATGAAACTGTTTTATTGTCTCTCACATTTGGAATATTTTGGATTGTTTATCAGTCTACCACTTTGATAATATTGATGAGTATATTCATGTATGTAATTCTTCTCAAGTTTTTAAATAAATGAGAGAAAAGTTATTCAACTTCATACCAAAACGACAATTTGTTTTTCCAGTCGGAAAAATTTTTATTTTCTGCAATTTTTGGCTTTATTTTTCCATAAAGGTTCCTGAATTCCTGAATATTTGTCTGACTTGAAGAAATCTAAGGATTGTGAAACGCTAGAAAACCCAATAGATTATGTAATATGAAATAACGGTATTTTGCATATCTCCCAATCAGTAATTTCATAGAAATCTTGTCATTATGAAATTATAGTATTCAATTCGAAAATACATCTACATTATAATGTTTCACGTTCAATTATCAAGTATGAAATCCACCCACTTCTGAGATTTTTGCAAGCCACAGAAACAATCTCCATAGTTTTCATGACATGTACCAAATACATAAACTCTTCAGTTCTTGTGTTCCAAAATATATGATATGTCCTATAAAAATCGAATTTTTGTTCATCTCAACAAAGTTTTACTTGATGTGTAATTTCATCTGTAGCTCGCTTGCGTTTTGCAAAATGAATTCCTTGATACCAATCGAAAATTAGGACAATAGTTGAATAACCTGATATGATCACTCTGTCAATAAGTGATTCATTCAAACAGTTACTGGGTAAATGAATAACTTTGTGTGGATAAGGTGAATCACCGATTTTAGGAGCAATATAGGTTGTTAGTATTTAGACAGTGTTGTTCAGTTGACAACACTGGATAGTAGTCTTCTGTAAACATATCTCTTCTGGTGAATTAGTTTCTCAAAATCGATGACAGCTATCTTTGAATATTTTTCAGACTTCTTTGAAACATGCGTGACAAAAATACAGGAGTTACTGTTTTTACTTGGTTTCAGTTCTGTTAGCAAAAAATTAATCTTTATACAACATTACAAATTTTCACTTTTTTTTTATCTTGTAAAATGGTACAGATGATGAATAAAAAAGTTTGTATCCCCAATTATTTTCTTGCGGGATCTGGCTAAATCTGAACAGTTGAATCAGCCAATTGAAAACTTCTATATCATTTTTTTATTTCTGGGTTCAGTTGACAAAACATGCTTTAGTTTGCCATCTTCCATTTCAAAAAGATATATGAACATTCAAGAAAGCTTAGAGTCCCTTTTGGGTTTCTGGTTCCATTGTGAATTGGTTTGACTTCTAAGGGTTGTCGTTCGTAGGGGTGCGACAGCTGGTTAACGAAAAAAAAACGAGAGTTTAGATGTAGTAATGCAGACCACTGCTAAAAAACCAGTTTTTCATCAAAATCCTATCTATTTCAATAGGAAAAGGAAATATCTTTGAAAACATGAAATTGAACACATATTCTATAGGAAGAACAAATATTAGTTTTCAGTTCTATGAAATAATGAAATCCACGGAAATGAAAGTACGTTATTAATTCATAAAAATGGTGAATATTACATCCCAACACCAAACCGTTATTTTTGACACTTCGACACGTGTTTCAATCAACAAGTAATCATCTTCAAGAGGAAGATCGAAAAAAGAGTTTAATCTGCCTCTGGAAGATGATCACGGTGTCGAATAAACGGTTTGGTGTTGGGAAAAAACTCCAGTAATATCCATTACTACACCAAAGGTTCCAAATAGTGCATCACAAGTACATAAAAATGGTGAAAAAGGATGCTTTTATCACAGTAAATGTTCAAAACAAAAACAATTTTGTAGTTCAACAGAAATTTTTCGTATGGAATCAGAAGAGACTTGTTCTACCATTCAACAAATCTGAACTAAAATGAGTGCATTGAACCTATTTATTTATTGTGAATGTGAAGAGCATACCAAAGACTGTTGGTTGGCTTAAAAGAATATTTCATCCCTTCCCAATTGAAGAAAATGATCGAGCACAGAACAAACTTTGCTTTACTGGGTTTTCAAATGATTCATTTTGATTTTATTCTTTTCGTTCAATACTGGACAGTTTTTATATACGGGATGTTTTTGTAACACATACTTGATATGAAGTTTGTGAATGGAACCAAAATAGAATTCTGTGGTACCCAGTACTTCCCAATCCGTGAATGTTTATTTCTGTTTTTGAAAAGTCGAGTTCGAGGTGTGAGACACTGCGGTGTTGAAAGCAACATTTGAGGATTGTACAACAAGAAAGAGTATAACGTTGCTGGAACGCAATAATTTTTCCTCACTTTTTATGTGTTATATAAAAGTAATGACCTATTACAGTCTATATTAGATTGTTTCTGTGATATGTTGGCAAGTGGCTATTTATCCGTTTCAAAAACTGGAATGAAGATCGTAAATATTGTCTGTGTGTACTACCTATATATTGATTTAATAAAGAAATATTCCATTTATCCAACCTTCGTTTAGTTCGATATGCTGGCTCAAAATTTAATATAGTATAAGGTATCTAGTCAGCATCATTAGTTTTTATTTATAATTCCACAACTTTGATTTATATGGGTTGTCCGTTTCACTGTTATTTATATTGTGTGAGTGAAAGTCTAGTTGCTGTGTTATTTCCAATCGTTTTAGAACCCAAAAATATTTCGCACCACATCAAACATAGCTCATCATCTCAGCGCGATGAATCGTTTCACAACTTGATCTTGCTATGTGATATTCTTGATATTTGTATTTACGACTGGATGGGTAGTCCGTGATTTGCGCTGCTAGACTCAAGAAAAGGGGCACATTTTAGATTAAAAATAGGTGAATAACGGTTGTGCTGATGATTTTTTTTATCACGAGTCGTTCAAAACCATTTGGTGCTAGTACCACGATCAAATACTGGTTCAGTTAGTTGTAGTGAAGTGCTTGAACAAATTTAGAATACTAGTTGAGAATTATTCCTTTTGTCTGTATAATGAAAACTAAATGTGTAACAGATATTTACAAAATACAAGAATAACAAATCCAGTTTGTTTCATTTGTGGTATTGAACTCTATAAATAAACACCTTCCAAATTATTGGGTTGTTTTTAATTGAAAACTAAAGATTTATTATTATAATTACTATTATCAAATCATCTGAAGGAGGAACAACTTGTTCAGGCCAGTCTCAACCTGCATTGTGTTTGTAACAAGAATTGTATTCTGAAACAATAAACATGTTATCAATCAATCAAACCTACACTGTAGGTTAATGGACTGACACATCAGAAAACAACTGCTCCCCTGGCTAATACCACCAAGGGCGTCGGATTATATCCGACATGTGTCTGTGCAGGGTTCTTCACAGAAGTAATTCCTGCAAATCTTGTTGGCGGTACAACTGCCGCAATAGATTTTCAATTATTGAAACACACTTGCAGACCAGTTTCGGGCTGTTGAAGTCGATGATTTCCGATATTTGAAAATCGAATTCCTTCAGAGTATCATCCTCGAACTAGGCTGAAGCAGACAACAAACAACAGAATTGTCATCGCCCCATCTGCCCGTGAACGAGGTAATCAACCGCATGTCCAACCGCAACCAATTCCTGATATAAGGAAAAAACTTCAAATATAGTCAGTGGGAATACTTGAAGACTATAAATCAAATCATTTAAAGGAACAATTTGTTCAGGCCACTCTAAAAATCTATTGAATACGGGCAACTGATTAGATTGAATCCTTCATCAGAGATAGTTGTAAATTTGTCTCTTATAACCACATTGCTAATGAAAGTTACCCAAAATATATTCCCGATACAAGAATCTCACATTTTGGTGTACTCCAAGGGTCGATGTTGGGACCTATACTGTTTATAGTATATTGCAATGACATGAATAGTGGAACTGCGGACACTACATGAGTCATGTATGCAGCCGATACATCTCTCCTAATTTCTGCTAAAGATGACAATCTTTTGAAAGAAAATGCAATTCCTGGTGTAGTGTAATTTTTTTTATTTCAACTCAGATGAAACTGTTACTCTACGTTTCAACCACAGAAGAAAAAACTGCTCTGATATAGAAATCTCTGTGAATGATAACACGATTTCTCAGTAAGAGGTATGCAAATTTCTAGGGATCACTTTACATCTTTGTCCTAACTGGAATATGACATACGATCTCTTGACTAAATTTCTTCTCGTATTTAATGCCGAACAGACTAATATTGACTATTAACAAATGGGCACATATAGAATCTAGAATATGCATATGCCTTGGGGTTGCTTTATACTAACCACGAATGTAATTATTGATCAAAGAACATCGTGTACGTCTCTATTCAATTCTGACTCTCAAGATACTTTCATCTTATAAATGCGTGTTTGTGATTACAGTAACAAAGCAAAATTTGACCGTATTCATTTCACCCATAACATCAATTCTCGAAATCGTAATGATTTTCATATCAAACCATCAAAAAACAATCTGACAGCCAACTCACCTTCTTACCTGTGGCTAAAATTATACAGTAAATTGCCTGCAGCATTAGAAGAAGCTATAGCTATCCACATTTTTGAAAATGAATTAAAAAAAAAATATTAGACCCTATAATTTCCCCTATATTTAGGGGAATTCATCAGATTGCGATCAGTTTTCACAACTTTGTATTTCCTGAACTAATCTAAAACAGTTTGACTCACAAAATTTTGTGTCATTTATTGTATGTGTATGTACCTAGATTGTATTTATGTGCTTTAAGTGAAATTGATTGAAGACTGATTGTATGATAAATCCTATACGAAATCATTTGTCTACTGAAAAAGAAAAGTTATTATTATTATTAAGGCTGAAGAGTCATGTTTATTTTGAGTCGCCACAAATTTCTGTATATATGATCAAATAAACATATTTTCTCCTAGATTTCCAATTAAAAGTTCCCCACACTATGAAAAAATCAAATCACATTACACTCAAAGAGGCATGCTCCTAGGTAAGTATGATTTTGTAAGGTAATGAAGCTTTGCAAATATTTTTTACTAACCTCAAAATAATTCTCTGGTTACAAATGGATACTGATGATACCAGATATATTCAAGTAAATATTATGTTTTGATGATAGAGGCATTTGTATTTATGATGAATTATCTTATCTCTTTTTTATCACAGTCTGATAATTAAACAATGGTTGTGTATGCTTTGAAGAATGAAGCCAATTGAGGCTTCAGAAAGAAATACTAATCCAAAACTCAATTATCTATTTTAGAGACTGTTTCCACATAATATATACCTTCAAAAAATAAAAAATGTTGATGAAAGAATTGACTTGTATGTTTTTTTTTAATTAAGTACAGTTACATTGAAGTGATAATAAAAATCTGTTGTCTTTGAATAAAATGATATGGAAATTAGATATAAAATGTATTTATTGAACCTAAATTTACAAAATAACAATACATATCGGCATGCCAGTAATGTACTTGGTAACTTTGAATCTCAATACAGAAAGCTCGCAAGGTAAATGTTGGAATTCAATTTTATAGTAAAATGGCAGATTTTACTATAGGGAACTAGTGCTAACAGAGTATCAACTGAATGGTTGATTAGTTTGAATGGATAAGAATTGACAACTTTAGTGTAAAGAATTTATTTGTAAAAAGCCTTTCATACCTTTATTTACACAGACTACAAATCCAACTTTCGAGTGCAACTGAGCACATAACTGATTAAATTGTACACAGTTGAAGCATTGAAAAAACATCCTTTAATACTTCTCAACCAAAGTAGAACGAGAATTTAATACTTCAAACTTGCAGAGATCAGGAGATGACGTTCAGGAAGTACAAAAGGATTCATAAACCAAATCAAAGAATTGATACTTAATACACATTTAAAGTAACAATAATCTGTTCACAATTAAATCAAAAAATAATTTTAAGATACTTAATTAGTACAATGTTCACAAAGGTTGCACTTTAGCAAACATTTTAAATAACTATAGTAAAAAACATAAAAATTCTACTCGAGTGAGATAAGTAAAAAACGAATTATATCCAATAAAATCACTGCTACCAAAAACAGAATTACCACACTCCTCACGATGACACAAATTCGGTTGGTGAAACATTCATCGAGAAGGGTGTTGCAGCACTGGTATGTAGGAACAGTTCTACCTTTCAGATGAAATAAAATTCAAAAGTAGAATGCTTATGTTTGTTACTGATGTCCTATCGGAACGTGTTTAATTGTCCATAGCATATCTACGGGTCCATTCTTTTGCATTTCGGATTGCTTCGGATTCGTTAACTTTCCAAAGTTCAGCTACATCGTTTGCTAGAGGATCATCCGGGTTTGGAGCACTGAGTAAGGCTTGAATCGATAGAAGTACAGTGCGTATTTGTAGCGCAGGACTCCACTTATCCTTTAAGATATCAAGACAAATTCTGCCAAGTCTATCGATATTAGGATGGTATATTTTCGTTATAAACCTTACTTTGGGTGCTGACATGGGGTAGTCTTCAGGCAGGAACAACTCTAGTTTAAATAGTCCCCCTTCAAATGGGGAATCCTCCGGACCTGTCACAATAACATGAAAATAACGAGCATTACTGTCATCTGGTACAGCACTAATTCCCGGCACAGGTTCTTGCATTAATCGTTGAGTTTCTTTAATTATCCTGCGTGGTAGGGCTGCCATTTTTTGACTACCAATGTGTATGTTCTTCAATATTTTTTATATAAACAAATTTCCCAACTAGAACATAAAACGATACCTGCAGGACACTTTATTTTATGAAGGGAATTAACCTCTCATTATTTCTTGAAAGAAGGGTATTTTTACTAGTAGCGGCAGTAGATAACGAATTTTGACATATTCACCGACGTTTTCATTCTCTGCGGCCTGCGGTTCGGTGCACTCTCAGGACGCATGCGAAACTCTTGGGCGGGATATTCAAAAACTCAAATTCATTACTTCTTTCAGGAAAATTAGGCTTACCCACTCAGAATACCTACGAAGAATAATTGATCTACAAACGCATCAGAAAATGCATTATAAAAATTCAAATTGATAATTCCGTGTTTGATTGTTCTCAAGAAAACTTTTACTAATCGATTAGAGTACGTTCCTAAGCGTTTTCCATTTTTGCTGACTAATTCCCTAGAGAATATTCAAATTCCATACGGAAGCAATAGCCACGAAAACCTAGAGACAGAGAGAGAGATGTATCATTCAATCACAATGTATCAGAGATCGCTTTCAGTATTTATATATGGCTGTGTGTGTGCAATAGAGTATCTACAATTACTTGAATTTTTTTGGATTGCCCCAGTACTTGGGGTCAAGAGCATGAAGAGGCGCTTTATCTTTCATCAAAATAATCTGTTAGGAATTAAAGATCATCAGAATACTACGAATTACATTTCCAGTATTCAGTAAATATCCATGGAAAAAAAAACTTTAAAATATTAAACCAAGAAGGTTTACCAACCGAACTTTTTCAGGCGAAAAAATCATGAAAATATTTCGAAGTTTTTATGATAAAACTATTCCTAAGCGAAACAAATGATTTCCCGGTGTATTAGATATGCCCTAAAGAAACCACCACACCTAAATCTGAGTAGTGTCCATCAGTGTTGTTCAGTGGAATTTATAATACAGTTGGTAACATCAGGGTTAGTTATTAACCAAGTAACATACAAAATTAATACACTTTTATTTTTACGAGTACTGTGTGTTGAAGCAGAATCCAATCGTTTCTGTTCAATTTCCATTTTCGATTTCACTATCGATAAAAGAATAATGCATTATAAGCAGAAAATGCTTCAACTCGCTGAGGAATCAAGAGCAAAGCTCATGTACTTTCATAAAAAGCTTAGACGGTTCAAAAACGAATTGACATTAGCAAACACCATAAAAAAAGAGAAGAAGAAAAAAAACCAATTGACAGCTGTCCTGATCTTCTTCACTATGAATCTTTATTGGCCTTTGCCTTGAAACGATACGGATGTCTTCATGTCGTTGATCAGATTTGAAAATGTATAATTCATTTAATTTTCCGAAAGAGGAGCAACACGCACAACTCAGAATAAAATAGGGCAATATGTTGTTCAATTGTACAACATGGAGCAACTCTGGTGTTCGTCTAAAAAAGTGTCGCCATCGCTTGTAGCGAAGGTAAACAATAGATAGGTGTTCATCGATTTGAAAAGGAACCCGAGTTCTTTTTGTCATCAGATGAATTTCACCGAATAATCGTAAAAGCTGATTAGTTTACGATAAATACGATGAGGTGTATTTTAGGTGAAGAGACTGGAGTTGTCAAGTGATAGGATGCTCAATACTACTTTTGGTTTCACATATATAATGTAACAAGGATAATTTTGCATTGGTTCTGGGTAATAGTAATGGTTTCTCAGAATGCCTCAGTTTATTGCTGATTTTCGACAACCACTCCAAAATACAAACACCAGGAAGAAAAATTCGTTTTGCAAGATTTAACAAATAAATTTTATCCCAGAGGGCTGTCAGCTTGGTGTGCCAGCATCGAAATTCACAGAATAAAGTTTCAAATAAAAAACGAAAGGTCAAATAAAAAGGAAAACAACAAAAACACCATTAGTCGCCAATGCTGATTTGCGACTAATTATTTCGCAGACGGTCAACTAGTACTATCTGGCGATAAATAGCACAGGATTCTTTCCTATGCTACAATAATCTTAATCGACCCCCATAACTAGTAGAAAGTTGACAGCTGACATGAATTCATCAGATTCATTAGCTCTGGTTTCGTTGTAAATGGATGACAAAAATGAACAGTTGACGTTTAGGACGGTGAAAAAATGAACAGTTGCTTGGAATTCAGATTAAATGGGTGGAAAAAGGAACACGCCTCAGTGTTCATACTTCTTCGTTACGCTGTGTGACATCATACGGGCAGTAGTAAAAGTAATCCGCCCATTATTGTTCTTACTTTGTCAGTTGACATGGCGAGACATCTCTGAAGCGATAGAAAAAGCATTCGACCGTTTGTGTTCATACTTCATTTTGAAATGCATTATCGCCATCTATCGATTAGTAGCTAAAACTCTACATTTTTTGTTCTTACTTTTTTATTGTGAACATGTATTGCCCTCTCTTGATCAAGAGGTGATCTAATCGTCATTTTGGGTTTTTCACTAAACTGAACTTCTGCAAATGAATAATAGATGTCCCTTCTTTTATAACTGATGGTTTTCGATATTTTGTAAAAAAAATCTGAAAACAAAATTTCCAAGAAACAAAATGAACTTTCTCGGGAGAAAATGGAAAATATGAAACGTCCTATATTTTTCTTACCACTTGTATTCATAACTAATAAGAACGTTTTCAAACGAATGATATAAGTGGTAAAAAAACAAAGTTTTTATCTTTGATTACAATGTCCTACCAGCACGTAGTAACGGCTACATCCATCAATTTATTGAATGGAAAATAGATTTCCTCAAAAATTTGCACATAGATGCACCTTCACATGCGTCTCCAGTTATTTCAAATAATTAATTCAAATAGTACTTCAGGAATTATATAGGTCTTCAAAAGTATTTAGAAATGAATTTAAATTTACGTTTTCAATAACAAAAGATCATTGAGTTTCTCGTATGTGCTTGATAATATCAATCCTTTTTCATCTATATTCTATACGGTCTGACAATTACATTATTTTGAATAAATGCAGCATCATATTACAACTATAAATTTCAATATGAAACGGAGAAGTACTTTTGCGTTTAGGTTTGGATGGGATGGATCACAATATTCCAAAACAATGGTAATTAGTTTTAGAGGTCCAAGGGAAGTAGAACAGAACGATACAGGCAGTTAGGCCTACAGTATGAAACCCAAATAAGATGGACTACCAGGATGACGTTAAAAATTACAAGCTTAGTTATCACAATAGCCCATCATCCTATAGTGTAGATCTCATTTGGTGAAATACTGAGCTAGTTGGGGAAGGCTGAATGTTCATTTGATAACTTAGAGCTATAATTGCTAAGCAGGAAATTTGTGCGCACCGAATTTGACATTAAAATATGACACTGAGTTTGGTAAAATTTGCATCATGTGGGGACTAAATTCTAAACTTTAATGGTCGCTGTTTATTTTGACAGGATCTGTTTCATAAACTCATCTACTACATTCTCAAAACGTTTGTGAATTATATTATAAAACTGCAGAGAGATTTTTGGATTCAAAAATCAAATTTTCCAAACTCGTTGAAATGTTTTATGAGCTGTAACAATTCGTAAGGACACCATGATTTCATTTAGTCATTCAAGCTTAGCAAACAGCTAATAAGCTAGCTACAAAACATTTTCAACTCATTCAGCATTGATAGTAATGGTCTTGCCTTTTGGATCATCGAACCTATCCATAGTTCTTATATCCAACATCATCGTAATGCCCAATGTCATGATCATCAACAAAATGGTGGTCACAAATAATCCCGTCCATATTGGAATAGAAGTGAAACCGACACAATCATAGGCATCTCCAAATTTCGTTGTTGCATTGTCGGCCAACTTGTCGAAGAATACTTGAATCTGAAAGAAAATTAAACCACAATTCAAACTCATTTCAAATGAAAAATTTGATAAGTACTCCAACATGATTTCGTCGACGTTTTTTGAAAATAATTATAAAACAGTTTCCAACTTTACTGAATATGACTTCAAGTGTCGATTCTCAATTTGTGTTGATAAATTCATTATTAAGTATTTAGTATTATGTATGTTTAATTACTGAACAAAAGAATGTGGAAATGTGAGCTTCCATTGAGCAATTTGATAAAGCTTGTTGGTGGAAGCCTCAAACTTGACACAAACAAAAAAAAAACGTTTCGTTATGGATAATTGTCGAATCACTATTCACATGTGATAATTGATTATATATTATTATTATTATGTTTGTCCACGGGTTTCTCCCAAACTATTAGTTAGATTGAAACAGCGCAAGCTATGGGTGAAGTGTCAAAGGGAAATATCTTCAATAAATTGAAACAGATACGGTACAAATTCGTGGTGAGAACACAGAAAAATTTATCAAATATATAAACAATACTCACTTGAAAATCTCTGAATATCACCGAATAATTCACATTTGAAAATATTTGATCTCCGCAATGGTACGAGAATGTCCTGACAGCATACAAAGAAGCACCAGAAGTCAAATTGGCAACTTCTTTTTTAGTTGCATTAATAAATGTAGCACTGACAGGTTCTTCTAACTGCCAGTACCCTAAACTGCTACTATTTGTGAAATTCAATCTGAAATATTATACTATAAAGTTAAGGAACTGATGAAACTGTTAATAAAATAACTTACGTCAAGGATACTACATCTGACTGCATTTTCAACTGTACCTTAGTTGAGTTGTCCAAGACAACAGACTCATAGGTGAATGTGACATTGGTTTCACTGAAAAAAGACTATTTAGTTTCATGTCAGGAAGTGTGGAATTCACCGTCTTACTTTCCGTTCCTAGCAATATATGCAGAATTGGTGAAATACAGAAATACATTAGAATCTTTCAAAAAGTTTGAACCATTGACCGGTTTGAGAGATTCCTTGACTGGTTCCACTTCTGTTTCTTCAGGTAAAGCTCTTTTCTGCCTTGAACTAACCTCCTCTGGAGCAACCTAAAACACCATTCGTAAAAAACTGATATAAACACTCGCCATAAAAAAAATACCCAAGATGTATGATGAGAAGTGTACAGGGCCAAAACATTTTTACCGGATTTGGCAATTTCTCTGTAAACTTCACTGACAGCAGCATCTGAAAATCAAATAACTTAAAATTTGAAGGTGGTTGACAATCAATCAATCAATGTTTCATGGTGAATTTTATTAGTTTGGACTTCTATTGTCTAATATCTTATTCATTTTGATTTTCAATTTCATTTGTTCTTTCACCGATCATATTATATCATATCATATTAGACAATGGAAGTCCAAACTAGTGAAACTGACTAAAAATTACTGATTATCTATCTGCAATCTTGTGTTGGAAATCAAGGCATTGGAATAAGAAGATATACAGAATATGCATGGATTTGATGAAGATATGTACTGAAAATCCTACTTATTCAAAGATAGACGAATGTTTCTATGCAGATTCAATCGTATTCCAAACTATATTAGAATTAGGACGTATCATTTGGTACGAAAAGATGACCGGTATTGAACATTTTAAAAATCCAGTTTTATCACCCCAATATTCAAGTCAGTCGATAAAGCAAATATACAAAATTATAGACCGATCACAATTCTAAGTGCAACCCCAAAATTATTAGAGACTTTGATCTATGATCAAATGAAAAATACATTGAACCAAGTTATTATACAAGAGCAGCACGGTTTTTGCCTGGGTAAATCAACAGCTACAAATTTGCTAACGTTAACCCGATTTGTGCTGAATGCCATGGAACAAAAGTACCAAGTGGATGTAATTTACAGACTTTTCCAAGGCATTCAACACAGTTAATTGTAGAGTACGGCATGGGAATGATAATAATCAAACATTCAAAACTTTTGCTGTTTGCAGATATCTTAAAATCTCTAGCCGTATCATCAACAAACAACAATATGAGAATGTTCAAAGAGACCTCATCTCAATTGTCAAATGATGATTCGAAAACTACATGGAGCTGAATGTAAATAAATACAATGCTTTGTCTTTTCATCGGTCACTTGAACAAATTGATTTTGGTTATAACATTGATGGCAAACTTCTCGTGAGAGCAAACATTTTTCAGGACCTCGGTTTTCTTTTTGACACCAAGGTTGATTTCCGTCTCCACTATGAGTAGGTTGTCAATAGGGTGACTAAAATGCTGGGCTTTGGGTACAGGACCACAAGATAATTCACTAATGTTAATCCCATCAGAACTCTGTATTCCTTAGTTACATCAATATTGGAGTATTGCTCATGTGTGTGGTTGCCAACATATGAGATCCATATAAACAAAATAGAAATAACAAAGGACAAGTTTCTAAGATATCTAGCTTATAAATTGAATATACCTCCAACTGAAGGTTCACAGTATAACAGAAATAGTGAAATTCAAGTAGATCTGTTTATTATTTCTGAAAGTAGCTTTACACGAAGTTTGTCATCACTTCTAAAAACAATAATATTTAAATGTGTACATATGTGTGTACACAGCTTCCTCGGACGTGTTCATTACCCAATCATCATAAATGAAAATAGTTAAAATTGATGAAAAGTTAAAAAATGATAATGAAAAAACTTAATATGATGAGAAAGGTGGTTGAGCCAGTTGTTCATTCAAAATCATCATTCGAGAACAATTCCACAATGTAATGAGGTCATTCATTGAATGAAAATTAAACGAGCTTTTTGAAATGGTTATAACTGCTAATAACTCTCAAAATATTAGGTAAACGATACGTCTTACATCAATTCCCAATTATGAATTTCACTGCTTTGTTTTTAAATCTGCTCGTCGACATAACTCAGGTGTACTGTATAAGATATAAATATTTTTTATAAAAAAAAAACCTTGTTCTTTCAATTGCAAGCATCTTTTGTTTATGTAAATATTAATAGATGCCTGACATATGCTAATTTTATTAATATGGATGTAGTGCTATCCAATTTCCTAATATACAATTAAAATGCTACTAAATGTGTTTTTGAAAGATTCAATAGAAGGTAATTTGTGTCACACAATTTTTGGGAAATTCAAAATCATTAGCAAATTTGGAAGATGTCAATATTTAATAACTTACTATGGTACCTAACTCCATACTTAATGTCCTCTTTATTTTACTATTTAATGTACTCACTATTTATAATGTTGAATATGACTATTGAACTTTGTGAATCTGAATGATCAATAATATACTCTACTAATTGAGAAATAAACAGTGATAAGAACTCACCATGGCGCTTCAACATGTCAATTCTTGTCTCAGAATCCTTAACATCGTTGAGATTAACAATGAGTATATCAGTCTGTGGAATTTCGAAGTTTTCATTCAACTTCTCCAGAGGTAATTCTGTAACGGTTACATCCAGATTCTTCAGAGCTCGTACGGGATTTTGAACGTATGGTAAATATGTTACCTTCGATGATTTTGCAAGTTTGGCTAGATAAGTAAATATACCAGATGATTGATCGTGTTGAGCAAAGTCTTCTGGACTCAACTGGAACACAGTAACTTTAAAGAAAGGGATGATATTTTGTGGTAGGTACTTACTGTTGGTTCGATGAAAACTACAACGTATGTGTTTTCCTTTAGTCTTTCCAAAATGTCATATTCGAAGGTATGTTGACTGACTTTGTTGAGAGCTGGAACTTTTTCGTTGACTCTGGAAGGAAACATTTATCATGAAAAACTGAGACTACATTCTCATAAACATGTAAAAAGTACACGTGATGTAGGGTTAAATAGTGTGAGTGAGGGAGTGAACTATAAAGTCATATGACCAGAATAACAGGGTAATCAACAAGACCTAGTTATCTTACATTTTTCTTTGATAACTACCGATAGTTGTTAAAAGTAATCTGGAGGTGTGGTCAAACGAAAAATTATGTTCAAACATTTCCAGAAAAACATATCCTTACCTTTTGGTTGACCACATATACACTGGAACATATTCGGTAGATACTACAACAGCTACGAAAAATAATAGGAATAACACTAAAACACCTTTAATAGCACCCATTTTGTTGAAATGTCTTCACTATTTGTAAAATCACTGGGATCTGAAGGATCACGTGAAATTACGGAGGAGCCCTGTTATTTGACAACCAGTTAAAGCGTAATCACCGTAATCTGACAACGGGCAAGTTCGTTTTGATTTCGGGTTCTACACGAAGCCGTTCGTTAACTTCGTTGACACATCAGCGGAACGGTTTGTTCCATGATTCCAATAAGGGGGGGGCTCGAAATGTCAGTGTTTTTGCCTCCACAGTTGTAATTGTGATATCATCACAGGGAAAAATAGCGCTAAGTTTGAATTGGTATGATATATTCATTGTATTCTTGAATTTGTTACAAGAGGTGGGCTAGACTAACAGTTTTTGAATTTTATTTTTATAGTGCTGGTTGCTCAATTGGTATAGCTCAAAAATAACAAAGTTTTCATTGTTAAAATCTATCGTGCCTTAACATGAGACAGCAAAGACGGCAGCCGAGTCACCCGACTCACTTGCCGCGGCTATATGCAATAACTGTCGCGTAGTCTTTTTGAATAATGTTTCGATTCGAAATAAAAATGCCTCATTATACCAATTAATTTCGATTAGGACATTGAGATGTCTGAATATTATATATGAATTGTTGGTATTCAAGGTGTATATGTGCACTGTAATGGTAAGTTTCATTTGATTTATATACTCATATGAGCTGTTTCAGTAGAGTTAGGGTCTAGTAACTGTCATAATTATAATATCAAATTGAAACCTGTGAATTTCTATATAATCATTTTTGAAAAGTTTCAAAATTAGGTCACAATCATTTTTTAATATTCAATTCCATTGGTTATCAATAATAATTCAATAAAACTCCAGTATTGATCAACTATCAATAAAATTGAAACTTGACTTAAAATTTGTACCTCCTGGTCAATAATAATAAAAACCATCCCTAGAAAACATCGGATACTTGAATCATTGTCTAAGGATTTACACGCTTAAATCTTAAATTTTGACAGCTGCGTCGCCCTCTCTGCGTATAATTTGAACTAAGGGAAGTAAAGATCCATTTGTCCACCAGATACCGCCAGGAGTACGTTCTCTGGCGAATTTGAAAATTCGGCATTTTCAGTCTTGTATTATGATTGAATTATGGTTTTATTTGTAATTCCAAGCAATTTTCACAGCTTCATTGGGACCAAAGTACTTTTTGAAATCAAAATATTTTGAAACTGAGACATATATGCGTGTTCATTATCCAGTACAACTGTACAGTATAATTTCTGAGACAGCCCAATTTTTCGTTCCTGAATACTGTCACTTTTATTGACCTTTTTTTGGTATAAGTAAGTGATTCTGGTTATTCAGCTGATTTCGTATTTACCTCCCAGAACCATGAATGATATCTTCAAAGAATATTTATTTTGTTCTCGATTTCCAATTATATGTTAATTGAAATTTAGCTTTTAAATTGTCAAAGAAAAATATTTCAGGAGTTTGATACTCACGAAGCATATAATTGATAAATACTTACATGCACAGACTGTATATTTTGCGAAAACATTTTTTGTGTTACTGTTATAAGTTGAAGCTAAATAATTTTTTTTACAATATCATTGTCTAAATATTAAACAATGACAATATGACAATGTCATGCCATCTATTTATTATGAAAGGAAAAAAGGATACATTTACATTGTCTATAGATCTTTAGACAATGACATTTAGTAGACAGCCAATAAGAAAATGCTGCCATCTATTGAGAAGTAGCAATAATAACGAACTATCAAAACTGACACATAAGATCTAGCTACCTACGCTGTGCAATGAATTGGTTCAATACATTTGAAGGCAATGAATTAATTTTGTCCAGGGCCGTAATCCAGGCCACCAATGCTGATTTGCATCAGATTAATAAAACACACTGAATAATTGTGTACATATATTTTAATATTCTTAGGTATCTACAAAGAATGTACATAGGGCATATGATACAACTTCAATAATATAATAGTTAAAAGTACAAACAACATAAATAAATATTTATATTACAATAAAAATTGAGTTTACATATATTATATATTAACATTGAACAAATTTTATTCTTCGACCTCAGGAAGAACTATAGTAGGAAGTGATAAGGTAAAGACATAGAATGATAACAATTGTGGGGTAATTTGATATCAGTTTCATCAAACTCAGAGTGCTCTGTGAAGGAAAGTAGCTTTCACAAATTCCAAATAACACAAATATTTATAGTGATGAGAAAAGTTAACAAAGTGTCAACGTACGAAATAAAAAAGCATGAATCACTATATAATAATTAAGTAAATCACTTTTATATACATCAGCGTTTGAATTTGTATCGAACTGTCAAATTGATTCATATCAATAAATAAAATAAATAACATGAGTTTATATTTTGATCATGAACATTTAAGGATTTGGGATGGGCCAATCATTGATTGATGTAGGTAATATCTGTGTTAAAACTTGTTGGCCCTATGATTGGCACGTCCCTTATATGCCGTTAAAATCAGCTAAGCTATCTATGTTTCACTAATGAGTGCTTTTTAAGTATAAGTATGGTGCTTCAATACGTCAGCGTTAGAACTAAATATTAAGCTGTCAACGTAGGATTCCTTGGAAAGATTTCAAAAAAAAACAGGAAATGTTATCGAAACACCCTCTGAGACGTCGAGTATGCGATCCAACACATTTTTTCTAATTGGCCAGGTATTTCGCTATCGAAGGTTATGTGAGTTATGAAATATCTTCGATTGTACGCCATTGATGAATATCTTGCTAGATTTACATGAAAATTCGACGTAGATCTGTGGGTGAAGTGATCATGCTGCACTGCGGGCAAACTTTCTTGCTTCCCTGAAAAATTAAAACAGTGAGTTTGGTTTCATTACAAGTATTCTCAGAAATATTCAGTTTTCCTCGAAAAATTCAAGAGACAATTCATTCGCAATTCATGTTTCAAAACCTTCGAAATAAGAAAATCAAATAACTAGTATTCAAATTTAAAGACTCTCTCTGTGCATTAAGGCATAGAAACTGCTATTAAGTCTTTAACTCACATAGTCGACTTGAAATTGCCAATTCAATGAGTGGTCGATGTGAACTCCAAAAAACTTTGTGGATTCTGAAGGGTATATTCGTGTTATTTATAATAACATGTATGGGATGTTCCACAGATTTTTTTGGCTGTTTTTTCTGCATTGACCATAAGTCTATTTCTTTGATAACACTTTGAGAAATTTTGACTTATTACATTCAATTTTTCTTGAAGTTCCAAAGGACTGTCGGCTTCTGCGGAAATAGAAGTATCATCGGCAAAAAGAACTATCGAAGTAGTGCCGATATGTTGTGGTAAATCATTTATGTATATTAAAAACATTAATGGTCCCAAGACTGAGCTTTGTGGAACTTCAACTTCCAAGTCATAAGTATTCGAGTTTACATTATCCCATTCTACGTACATCTTTCGAAATTTCATGTAAGCCATAATCCAAGATAGAAATTTACCTCGAATTCCAGTTGCACTAAGTTTTTTGGCCAGTATATTGAAGTTTATAGAATCAAAAGCCTTTGATAAGTCGAAGAAGAGTGCGACCACAAACTTTCCTTTGTCAATTCCTCTATAGATATTTTCCAAGAAAGCTGTAGTCGCACTTTCCGTCGATCTACCGTGAAAAAATCCATTTTGACATTTGTTAATTATATTATGTTTCGTTAAGAAAGGAAGTAGTCGTCCATAGTCTTGCCAAACCTTCGAGACGGTATGATCCTCGTTGACCCATGTTTCATCCAACTAAAAAATAGATTTACCCAGTGTTCTGCATTTCTTTACTTCTCTTAAATACTTTCTTCTCCATTCTACAATCTCTTATTTTTCTATTAACATGCTCTTTCTATCTTGTTTTCCAAAAGTGAAGTTCAGCTTCTTATATCAGGAAAAAACTGTATTCACGAATAACTGACAAAAAACTTCATTCAATGTGGTTATTTCGTTTTTTATATGTGTAAAGAATGTAGTGCTCTCCAAATAGAATTCTTGACTACTTCGTCAATAACCAAACAGTTTCTGCCAGTGGATACTTTCGGCTCCAAAAAGCTGTTGTCTTTCTACTTCCTCATTAATTTTCATTTCTATCGGATATTGTATTCCTAAAGAATTTTAAACATTCATAACAATTGTTTTTTCATTTATATGTAATGCTGACAGTTTCGGACGCTTCACAGTTCCCGAATAACTAGCTTCCATGTTGTATTAAGAATTATGACGTCATAATTCAAAGGAATATCTATTTATACCCCTTAAAAAACAATATTTTTTTCAATCCTCATCAACTGAATACTTATATGTTGGAGAATATCTTGGTTAGGTACTACTGAACACATTTTCACGTTTGTCGTAGTTGATTTGTTATTTCGTTTGTTATGAATGAGATTTTCCAAGAAGAAATTTTGTATACTCATTCATTCAATGGGGAATGTTCTTCCGGGCGAAAATCAAGTAGTTTTCATGAAAGAGCTCTAAATCAACGCATTTTAAACTTATCATTTAGCCAATATTTGAATTAGAAACAGATCCCTTTAAACATTGAAACCCAACATTTGAAACATCAATTTGAATACTTTTCGAAGTGAATTTGAAAAACTCAAGAATTAAACTCAACTTTATTTTGTTCAAAGATAGAGATAGATATACTGCTGTAGTTTCTCCCATTTCTGGACAGACTATAGTTATCACTATTGTTTTCAAACATTAACCGCGACACTTACCAGCGTGTGCAACCAACATTCTTCGCAGTGGACGTGCCAGCACACAGTCGATATAACAGGTTTCTTGTAATGTTCCTGCGAAAAAGAAATAAATCTTCGAATTCCTTCTAGAAACTCCAATCGGGTAATAGACAACAAATCTTACCAAGCAAATTAAACATTTATAGTCTTCAGTTTCCGTAGTGCTCGCAGGTTCGGCCCCCCCTTCCGCTTCCAGTTGTCGGATTCTATTCCTGAGCTCCTCTATCATTTGCGCTCTACTGCTGGGCTCGGCATCCGAAGTGCTCACGTTGCTGTCACACTGCTGACCGCCACTTTCTACTTTCACTTCGACGTCGCCACTGGAATTCACCGTGGCCACCTGCAGGAAAAAAAACATTGAAGAGCTTGGCAGTCTCGAAACAGGTGATTTTGATTATCAAAATCGAATGCAAACTAATTTAGAGCGATCTATTTGCATACTTGGTAATTTTTTTTCAAATGTAGTTTCACAGGAAAACAATTACGTGAAAACTATTGGCATATTAACTCAATTTTACATGATTTTTTCAACTGAATTGTTTATCAATAATAGGGATACTAATATGACCACTCTTCTAAGTTCACTAGTTCAGAAAATAGTCAGTTGCTTGATTTCCACAGTTTGGCAAACATTCCTGAACTATTTTCTCTATAAGAAACATTTCAAAGGATCTCATCCAACTGATTTTGAGGATAATTTGATTTTGATATTTCCTGAGCTATAGCAATTATTTCGAAATCATAATGAATTATTTTATTCAACTTCTTGAGATCAACAAAAAAGGTCCTATAAGTTATTTTGATATTTTATAGTTCGAAATTTTCAATTCTTCAATATCCATAATTTCTCACAACTCTAGCAGTATTATTGTTATGAAAAAGTTTCAGTAGATGCTGTGCTTATATACTCCTGATCTATCCAACACCAATCAGGAGTATATAAGCTGACTTGTGGCTCTTGTCCAAAACTGTATATTGGCCAAACAGGAAGAACATTTTTCCAACGAATTAAAGAACATAGGAGTAGTTTTGTAAATAGAAAGACCAATTCCACATTTGCAAACCATCTTTTAAAAGTTGTCATTGTAAAATTCTTGCAAACTATAATAGGGTCTGCTCGCGAGAAGTTTTTTTGTGTATTTTCTAAAGCTGTCAATACTATCGTGGCTATTTCTAAAATAAGACGGTAAGTGATTATACATTTTAACACCGTTATAGAAAATGGAGTCCTTTACTAGGGATGAAGAAGGCAATGATAATTTAAAATTATTTTTAGATTTTAGGCGAGTGCTTGACACGAAGAAATATATTCAAATTTTGACCTATGTTTGTGTATAAGACACGCAGTTTCCATTACAAAGAGAACCACAACTGTCAATTTTTTTTTCTGCAAATAACTGCCTACATGAATTGCGCGGTCCTAGTTTGAACAAATATCTAATGGCTTTCTTTTGCAGTTTAAGTACTGAATCTCAACTGAGATATGCCATTTCCCCAGAAAGGAATGGCATATCTCAGTTGAGGTTCAATTAATGCATAATATGCGTTCATAGCCGTGGCAGTACCAAGTTCCCTTGAAATAATTCTCATTGCATAGCACCCTGAGGAGATTTTATCTTTCAAGTGGTTGACATGTGCTTCAAACTTCAATTTACTGTCAATATATAGTCCCAAAAATTTTGTGCAATCTTTATTTTCAATCTTCTTATTTTCCAGAGGCATATCTTCTAAAGTACATTGGAAGTTGTTATATTTGTTTTTTCTATATTAAAAGAGAGAAGATTTGAGTCGCACCAAGACTTGATTACATTAATATCTCTGCTTATCTTATTATTCAAATCTTCAACAGTTTTACTATGCCATAAAATGATGGTGTCGTCAGCAAATAAGGTAATTTTTTCAGAAGTGTTAATACACAGTAAATCATGGATATATACAAGAAAAAGAATGAGTCCCAAAACCGATCCTTGTGGCACTCCATAATCTATATTAATATATTTTGAAGTTATATCACTTTTTACGACTTGACTGCGCCCAGTTACGTAGGATTCGAACCAATCCAAAGTAACTACCTCACAGCCGTAGCAATTTAGTTTCGGCAAAAGTATTTTGTGGTCTACACAGTCAAAAGCCTTTTTTAGGTCACAAAATACTGCTGCAGCTACATCTCCGGCATTTATATCTGAATATACCTCATACAGGAAGGAAAAAATTGCATCTTGGGTGTTCTTTTTAGCCTGAAATCCGAATTGATTTTCTCTGATGATTTTATGAGCAATAAGGAATTCCTTGAGCCTTTTTTTTACTAGTTTTTCAATTATTTTTGCTAGGGTCGGGATAAGTGATATTGGACGATAATTAGAGGGATCATCTAAGTTTCCGCCTTTGTGCAAGGGAATTATCACAGACTTTTTCAAGAGTGAAGGAAATTTACCGTTGCGAAAGGAAATATTAATTAGGGCGACAAGAGTTTCAAGTGATTCTCTTGGAAGATTCTGTAATATGTTCATGGAGATGTCGTCGTATCCAGATGATTTTTTATTCCTAATATCCCTAAACACTTCGATAATTTCATCAAAAATAGAATCGTATAATGTAAAAGTATCTCCTGTATGACAGTTATGAACATTGATAAGAGGGTCGTAAGGGACAATTATGATCTCGTCTGCACTGATAAAAATTTTAACGCTGTTCCTCAAGGATCCATGTTAGGTCCTCTCTTCTTGCAATTTATACTTATCCATCAGACATATTCGGCTCATATTTCATATGAATAACGAGTCATTATTTACTCAGAAAATCGGTTTCACTGTCAGAAATTTTTAAAATATTCCAACCTGTAATGAAACCGGTCGTACAAATAAAATTGAATAGTGGAATCACCACAAAATAAACAAGTCTTCAAACACACATATTCTAACCTGTGACTGTCCCCCTTCTTTTTCTTTAGTCTCCTTCATCACGACGTCGTTCTCAGTATACTGCGAAGGACCAAAAGTACTGTCTTCTGGTTCGTCACCGTCAACTATAACATCGTCACCTTCGTTGTCCACGTCTGTAGTCCTTCCAGAGCTACTAGGCACTGTTAAACCGCCTACCAGAGACCTGGTTCTACGTCTCTGAGATTCGTGCCATTCTTCCAGTTCAGAATCCCCCTCAACATCAACTGTTTCGTCTTCTTCATTTACAGCATTCTGAAGATAGAAAAATAAGTCATTAGAATATTTTGAATTACTAAACAAACATATATCAAACAAGATGAATGAAGTAAAATAATAAATTAGAAAAGTTCTGAGTTTTAAGATTCCGAGTGTGAGAACTGAGGCATTAAAAGTGTTGATTAAACTTGCAAAAGTATGGAAACTGGTTTCAAAGAACACAATACACATTTCCTGATGACACTTCCATTCGAAACTGATTCAAAATTGAAATTGGTGCCTAAGAACTTTTTTATCACCTCTTCTATTGTCTTCCTCAATAATTTAAACAGACTCGTTGAGGGTTTGGTAGGTTTTTAAAATATGTTGTAATAAAATGAGAGGGATAGCCACTTTCAAGCTGACCATCCAGTCATTCAGAATTGGAAATCGAAGTGTTTGGTACTTACCTTTCTCATACATCTTTCAACATGCAAGTTTATTTCTTCTTGGGTCCTATGGGGATGGCCAGTACATATAGGACAGAGGTCATCTGATTTTCTTTTGCGGATTTTTATTCTTAAGCGACCTTGGCGATTCGTTTTTATCCTCTGAAATGTCTGAAACAAAAGCATGGATAAAATGAGAATTAGTCGTCTTTTACGGCACTTGCTCTGAGGTTTAGAAAACTTTGGAGATGAAGTTAGCCTCACATTTCCAATATCAAAGGAAAATCGGAAGTGAACTCACCTCCCACCTTCCTTCTGGCCCACTATCACCAGGAAGAGCCGGTGGTCTGCCTGGTTCTGGTCTGGCCCTTTTCCTGGTAGCAGCGACGCCAGTACCGCTCAGTTTGTAGAGTCTTTCCAATTCGTGCATGAAATGGGTCTCCAAGTCTCCTAAAGGTATTGCTAGCCCGCATACCGGACAACTTGATGGATCACGTTTCTTTTTATTAGGAACAAAATCTGAAACAAGGAGAACGGTGATAACTCTTACTCAAACATACTAAATTGCTCGAAGTATCAGCACCTGTGAGACAACTTGTACCTACAAAGATACTAGACCCTATGCAAAGTTAACGGTACACAGTTGTAATTCAGAAAACGATGGGATAGTTTATGCTTCTGGAGAAAATATCTTGAGGGTGATAGAAGTGTAGAAGAATGCTATTAGTATAGCCAGATCAGAACTGTTTGGAAAGATTAAAGTTTGCTGCTACAAATATAATTCTGGTTCCGATCTTACTCACCGTGAAGACCCGGAAAATGATGCATCTCCATAGGAGTTTGCATCCCAAATAGTCGGTTCCACGGTTATATTTCCCCGACAGCAAAAAGGCTGTCGACTTTTGGGTATGGAGTGTTTATATGTTGCGTTACTTCGTTCTACAGCTTCTATGTAGACTTTCCTCCAACCACTTCTTGAATATTTAGGGAACCTAATTGATTCACATCGTCTTGCAGGATAATTATGAAATTTTGAACCTTGACACAGTTCCTGGTGATATTTTACAAAACTCATTCATCTAGAAAAACAATTCTTTCCAATATGCAATTTTACTAGTTGACCCAGCAAAAGTTGTTTTGCCACATACATTATTTCAAGGAAATTTCTAGGGTGGAAAATAATAACTAACTCATTGTAAGTGTGTGCCAGAACAATAACACTAACAATAACACTAACAAATGATAATATTCCCTTAATGCCAATTGTCTGTGTGAAAAACATGGTTGTGCTCAAATCCAAGCCACAAACGGACATTGTTTGGCCTTGGGATTGCTAATGCCAATCGAATTGGAAATTTCTGTTGAAAAATCTGTTTAAAATATGTATTTCCGTTAGCCAGCTACCGCACCCCTACGAACGACAAACCTCAGCAGTCAAAACTTGTGCGAGCTAAGGATTAACGAGGTCGTACCTTTTATCTTGTGCTTTCTAACACCGAGATTTTTCAAAATAAGAGTACTTTACTTTTGTCACAAAATCAAATATTTGAAGGTTCCTCGTATATTACGTGTGTTGTACTGTATTTTGTTGGTGCATGTTTAGTTTTAGAGGATGCACAAACTTTTATCAAGAATAACTTTTTGAAGAAAAACCCTTAATAAATAAGTTTCCCATATGGTGCATACTTTGGGGATGACACTGTATATATTATATTGATATAATAAAATGATAACCTATCTTTTGATAGATGTTAGGGTCTTAGTGTCTAAAATACATAAATGAGTATCCAAAAATTTTTTCTCGAATTGAATTATTCGATTTTGACATTTTCACAACTCTGCGATCTGTTGAAAATTCACATCCAACTTCGGGAATAAGGGGCCTGCCGGAGGGAACAGAAACAATCCCCGTATTCCGTATGTAGGTGATGCATTAAGACACGCCGGCATATTTTCAGTCGTTTCCCGATTCGGGGTGTAAATTTCAGCACAGCTCGTGATGACTTAAGCTCACTTCATCCCCTTTTAGCTTGTGCTGATTTACGTTTGGGGTACACACGGGCATGGGTCTAGTCGAGCAATTAACAAGGTTAGCCTGGCTAATCCCATGAATGATGTCCGCTTCTGACGGATTTCAGTATCGTGCACTCCGTTGGATAAATCTACGACACGATGATGCGGCTGGAAAATATCTTTGGCGATCTGTTTCTATCGGGGTTTTCCCGAATTTTCATTTTGATACCAGAAGAACATTACTGAATACAACTGAACACAATAATCGACAAACAACACTTCCATTATTAACTACAAACAACTTTATTTAGTAAACTTGAGATTCGTCCTGGATGTTCGGGTGCAATTCAATAATTTCATTCTGAGGCATTGTTCAAATCCATGGATTGTTATACCCGTTGTAGAAAACATTGTTTTTGTATAATTCAATGTTCGTAGAGTAGAGAAGAGTACTTTATTTCGCCATTTGACATACTATAGTATATTAATGGCAAGTCACGAATACAGAAATCCTTGTTCGGAGTTACAATGATAAGTAGTTGTTCAGAAAGTACTATTTCTTTCGTGTAAGTCAATGTTTATATGAAAGTAGTTGTTCCGAGAGGTCTGAAAGTTACTTCTTTGCATGAATAATAAAATAGCATTTTATAAAAATCAATTCTAGGATATGAGAAAAACTGTCAAAATTAAAATAAAAGCGGCATATAGTCAATTTACAAACTTAGCTGAAAATAATATTTTATCTGACAGCTCGACTTTCTGGTCTTTCGTACACAGTAAAAAAGGTCATTCGCGTATACCGGGTATAATGAAATTTGGTGATGAGGTATTTGATAAACCTGGGGATATTGTCAATGGATTCGCCAAGTACTTCAGAAGTGTATACTTGGTTTCGGACGAGAATATGCTTCGTGAAAATTGTCATGATTCTGATTTAGATACATTAAACATCTCTGCCTTCTTTAAAAAAATTAATAAATAAACTCACCGCAGGCGTTGACAATGTTCCTAGTCTTGTGATAAAGGATTGTACTGACGTTCTCTCCATACCTCTAATAGGCATATTCAACTTGATTTTATCAACTTGTGCCTAGTTGTGTTTGTGTCAGTACTGCTACATTGCAGGATTTGCAACTTTTTGTGTTATATACTCAATTTTTCATACCTGTTTTGAAATTCTACGTATACGAATATTTCATATATAGGAATAGCATTTCCTGTAACTGGGTACTCCTGTTGGAAATAAATCGCTTTCTTTTATGATCTACAGATCTTTGTGAAGAGTTTATATTGAAATTATGTATTTGCTTTCTCTTTTTTTCGGAGGATTTCCTCATTATTTTGTATAAATATTGAGAGGTGGAAACCCAAAACCTTTCTTTTTGCAAAATTATTCTCTTTTAAGGATATCTCTCGAATACTTTTACTATCAACACTGGTGTTCCCCAGGGATCCATACTGTCTTCAACCCTCTTTTTATTGTATATCAACGACTCATTGGAAAAAACCAAGAATCCAATATATTGCTTTGCTGACGACAGCACACTTGTCTCGTCATTCCATTTGGATTACAGGACATCGGCTGTAGATGCACATCTTCACCGCCAGCAGGAGGTTGCATATCTTAATGAGGATCTAGAAGTGATTTCAAATTGAGGTAAGAGTAACCAGGTTAAATTCAATGCCACAAAAATCCAGGCATCGGTTTTCTCCAAAAAAATAGATGTCTCAGAACCGGATATAATAATGTTAGGACAGACAATTCCGGTTTCTGCTTCGATAGGTTTGTTGGGGGTTGAAATGGACATCAATATGTCTTGGTACAATCATGTCGCTGGAATTGCAAAGGCTGCTCTTCAAAAGCTTGGAAAACTGTTCCAAACCAGAACACTGTACAGACCTCAGCAACTTTTGATACTTTATAAAGCTCAGATGAGTATTGTTTTCATGTATGGAGCTCCGCCCCTCAGCATTCCCTGAAGCTACTTCCATCCAGAAAAGAGGCATCTGACCCTCAGAGACTTTTTTCTATTCTCACACCCCAAAAAAATGCTCGGTGGAAAGAAATTTAGCGCCGATGAGAGCCTATTTTGAATCGTACTATAAAAATGGTATCGAAAAATTGTATGACCGCTATAATCGTTGAAGCGCAACTATATTGAACGATAAAATCAAATTTTATTATTTTTTTTTTAAGTTAGCCTACGAATATTTCGACATGAATCAAGCAACATCCAGTCGACCACAGTATCCCACCAAGTCAAATCCTGTGCACATCAGAAACGTAGTTGAAGATGAGTAATTTTGTCGAACGAATAAAACCTCGAAATTTCCAAGCACACATGTATCCGAGTGCAGTATTAAAATAAATCCACAGAAAAACATAGCGAATGTCTTTACATAAAGTTGAATGATATTGTTTCCGGGCTCCGCCACAGTTAACTGAGCGGTTTGCGGAAAGCAATGGAGTGCGGACCATTTGCTTCGATGCATCATAACTGTTTTCCACACTCACATGTTCCCATATTCACATACTTATTATGGTCTACGACTCACCCCTTGTAAAATATCCCACATCTTCTCTTTCATTTGAATTTTTAACACTTGCTCTGGCTCAGACTACGGAAACCACTGTGTGAGACACACCATTTTCGTCAAATATATCGCTATATTTTTATATGTTTTAGTGAGGAGTTTTATTTGTGTTTGTTAGGAAACTTCGCAATTTTCTAACGAAACAGCTACATAAAGAATGGATAGGAGGGCTTTGCATTGATGAATCTTGCGCTTGGATGCCCTGAAGATGTACGGTGCGATTTTGAAAAGATCACGAGACAAGTTTTTATAGAATGAAATCATTAGGACGCGTCACAATCAGATAATGTGGGTTTTTGAACTGATCCTCTAAACCAGGGGTCTCCAAACTTTGAAGCCTTCGGGCCATAATTATTTTTTCAGTTTGTTCCAAGGGCCAATTTTTGCCCTTAACTATATTTCTAGACTAGGATAGTCGCAAAGTGCGTGACCTAAGCAAAATTACGCTTTTTTGCATACATATTATAATGTATTGTGACACTTAACGACATCTAGTGGCGAGTAGTGGTACTATGTACTATCTTTTTCAGCTACCCGCTAGGTGGCATTAGGCGTAATTGAATATTGCGTTGGTTCGAGAAAGTTCTGGTTCTAGCTAGTGTATTCCGTATTAATTGCATATAAAAAGGCTAGCGGCGCAACTGCGAGTTACCCTGAAGAGGCATAAGCCTATAGCAGGGCCCTACACAAACACATACACTCACAAAAATTGTAACAAAACTGTAAAAATTTGTAAATATACGATTTTGATTGATTGATTGAACTGCGAGTTAGTCTGCGTAGGAAAGGCGAAGGAAGCGGAACTGTCTATTGTGTAATAAAGTAACACCCGTCAATAAGAGTATTTTGATTTGACTTATTGCGTGATTTGTTAGTATGGAAAAGAAGCGAAAAATCGACAGTGAATGCAA